GCCCTTCTTGTAGATGAGTGTCACACTGGTAAATGTGACATATAGAGATTGGAGCTGGGTATCTAGAGCGCAGCCTAGAAGCCACATGTAGCTACTCGGCATGCTCTGTGGCTCTTTACACTGTAGTGCTTTTTCTACATAAAAGCAATGTATAAGCAGCAGCGGTTTCAGGGTAACCAGTAATACCACATCTCTCCCCTATGTTTGGACATCCTTGTGTTAGTTGAGGACCACAGGTCTCCTTAGCTTGAGTGATCCTGTCATAGAAAAGGGCTCAGTTGCTCCAGTAGGCACAGGGTTAATCAATAGAAAGAAATAAGAGACAAGCGTTATTCTTGCTGGGTGGCATCCCGATGTGTGTGACTTTTAGGCAGAGAAATGAGTTGTACTGAAGATGGTAATTCTTTCTGTACACTCATTTAAAATCATGCTTGAAATAAAGAAGATTTATGAATTTAAAAATACTTTGAAAGTAATTTTTTTTCCCCTTCTTTTGCATCTAGGAGGATTCTGAAGAAAGTAACTATGGAACCTTCAGAAAGACTGGCTAATCTCCAGGTGCTGTGGGACAGTCAGACAGTGGCAGAACTTGGACCTTGTGGTGAGAATGAATTTAAAGGCTCAAATATAAAAAAGGCTGTAATTGCAGTGTCAGGAAGTTTTAATTCTATTTCTGTCAGAAGCTTGTAAAGGTGTAATTAGTCTTAAGGTGTAATTAGCATGGAGCAGACTTCTGATTGGTAGGTGAAGGCACTATTTTGAGCTTTCTTGCAACCTGCCGGGCAAAGATAGAATAGTCTGTTTCTTTCAGCAATGCAATGGACAGCCTTCAGAGAGAAAAAGAGAGTGAGTTTTTGAAGACTGGATCTTTAAGTATTAAAGTATCCTTTTAGATGTTTGTTTGTTTGCTTGCTTGTTTTACTATTATGTTAAATACTCTCTTGGGTTGTTTTTAGGAGGATTTTCACAGATGTATGCTTGTGTTTGTGATTGGCTTGGATTTCCCTATAGAGAAGAAGTGCAGTGGGTAAGTACATGTCTTGTTCTGGAGCTCTTCAGCTAACTGTACAAATGGTGAAAGAGCAGGTAAATCATAGTACTTGGAAATAACCAACAGCTCTGTAAAGATGTATTTGGTTACGTATTTTTAACAGGATGTCGATACAATTTATCTGACACAAGATACCAGAGAGTTGAATTTGCAAGACTTCAGCCATCTTGACCACAGGTAAACAATATGCAGTAATTGTGCTGATATTTTCCAAACTTTCCTTGTTCTCCCTTGCAATAGGGTTTGTCTGCCCTTGCTAAAATGGAGCAGTCCCATAGCTGTTACTTGAATCTGCAGACCTCCGAAATCACCATTTGTAGCATTTTTTTTTTTTTTCAGCAAAAAGCTGCTGTTTTTGCACGAAAGCCCTGGGGAGAGCACATTTCATTGTGGAGCCTGAGAAGATAAATATATTTTGCTAGTGGAAGCACTCCAAAAAGTTAGCAGATAGATATATTTCCTGTGATGGCGAATATAAGAGATCAAATTCAGCAGAGAAAACATGCAACTGCATCCGGTGGGCAAAGCAAAAAAGGAAATTATGCACTATTTTCTTATGCAGAATCTTTTTCTCATAGTGTACCCAGTAAAGGAAACTATTTTTGTCAGCAAGTCAGTAGGAGGTTTATGTTGTTCAGCTGAATCCCAGCTAGTAGTTTCTCCACTTACAGCAGATGGCATCAAAAACGTATTTGCAGAAAGGAACTAATTGAGGGTAATTTTACTACGAGATGCTGAAACTTAGCTAAGTGTTATATTTGGTTTACTGAATTTGGCTGGCTGAGAACGTTGGATTCTAGGAAAAAATGAATCTGAAGATATTTAAGCAGGAGGAAATTAGAGGAAGTTTTAACTAAAATCCATCATTATACAAGGAAAATGAAAAATATAAGAAACTGTAAATAAGATAGAGAAAGCATTTGTTTCTTTGAGAAAGCCCAGTGGTAGATTTAAGAATCTGTCAAATTTACAATGTTAAAATATAACAGGGAGGCTGAACTTGGAGGTAGGCAAATAAGAGTATTTTGCCACAGAATTCTTTGCAGCTTTAAGATATCTAGTATGTAGACTCACAGAAAACCCCACTGAAATTCTCAGCTTCTGTGATGGATTTTAGCAGTCTGCACTGAATCCCATGGCAAGGTTACTAAGTTGTACCTCTGGCTAATTCAGAAGTAACTTAAACAAGACTACAGGGCTGCAACTGGTGCATGATGGATGTAGCCAAAGACTGGTTGGTTAAAGCTGGCTCAGAGAAGATAAGGAAGGGAGTATTTTTCAGCATAAACAAATGTGGGACAAGAACATAAGAATGCTTTAAACATGTTGCAAGGTGGAAGTGCTAAGACCATGGGGCGTTCTTGAGAAAGTGACTTACAGATACCCAGCTTCAGTAGAAATTAAACGTTTGAACAATTTATTGGGAGTGAAAAATATTGCTTATTAGGAAAGAGTAAATAGAAGAAGTGTTTTTAAGTATTTAGAATATCTCAGCTGGTTCAAATGAGTTGGCTTTTGGAAAATGGAATAATGGTTTGTTGCTTCACAGAAGCTTTTCATGGAAGTATACCTTACAAAATTGACATCACTGAGGAAATATATTTGTGTTGTTAATAAAAGTCTTTATTAAACATCTTATGATTGTGCAAGTCCAAAGATTCAAAACAATTTTGGAACTATTTACATTTAGAGCCGTGGAATCCATCTTGTGATGAGAGTTTCTATGTGTTGAGGACTGCACTGAGAAAAAGGTTTTGGACTGAAGTTTGAAGAGAACTAGTTTTTTTAGGAAGCCAAAACCTTATGATTTTCATTAAAAATATGAATCAGGATCTGAGATCCCTGTCAATTCAGGAATGTATGTGAGTGTTTTGTGATTTAGCACAGTGAGAATGCTATAAATTAACAATATGCCATCATTCTTTGGATTTTGAGACTGTTGTGTATCATGTCCCCCTAATTTTTGGGATTGCTGAAACGATATACTTCATGTTGTGAAGCACCTGTGAAGTGAGGTAGGATGGGTACACCAGTTCTATAGATACAGTGGCTATGTATTGCAAAAATAAACAATTTGTTTTCTTCCTGGTAAAACATTTCTGTTAGAGGTCAACATAAGATGGCATGAATTATAGATGAATTTAAGTTCCCAGAGTGTCTGGCACTTTTACAGTGCATAGCGTGGCTTGCCACATGGGAACATGACTTCTGAGGTTTTATCTGAAGTTATGTTGTGCTGTGAACCATGTAATTGTTTAAAAACAAAAGAAGACTCAAAATGAACAGCACTTATTTAACTCAGTAGCATTATTTTTGTCTGTGGAGCATATGTTTTATCATATTTGGACACTCCAAAAATTGTCATAAAAAAATGATTGGTTAGATTTTTTTTCTTTACACTGTTTAAATTTCTTTCCATCTTAAATACAATGGGGGATAGAGATGTTGAAAAAACATGAAGGCATTAGTGAAGTTTGAATGTTGTTGAAGCTTGGAGAGATTTTCTGCAGTCTGGAAGAAGAGAATCTGTTTTCATTTTAAGATGGCATAGGTTTGCATTTTGTGAATCTTACTTTATTCTGGATGGTAGTTTTGTAAACAAACTAATAAATATAAGCAACTCAACATAACTTAATGAGGGAAAGTTATGAGAAGGCCCTGCTTTTGGAAAGGGTCATTAGCACACTTTCATAGCGTATTGCAAAATAATTCAGATCATTGTTAGTGCCACATCTAGAATTTAATAGAATAAAATGAATAAAGCAGTATATAATTTTGAAAAGGAAAACTCAGTGACTGGTGCAATGAGGTTAGGCAAGCTCAAATCACAAGAAGGAGCAGGGGTAAATTCCTAAAGGGCCCTTGCTGGTTAGAAGCACCTTCAAAAATTTGAATAAAATAAAAAAAAAAAAGACTGAGCTGTGTAGATTGTCCTTAAAATCAGATGGTAATATCTGAGAAAGCGAAGCTTCTAGACAGGCTACTGTAGAATGGACAGAGGTTCCCCTGTCTTCAGTCACGCGGGGAGGAATGGGGTAGGGGAGCAGCGGTATCAGTGGGTGTTGCTGAAGTGTGCCAGTACCTGTGCTTGTCTAGAGTTTGAACAAACAGGCCTTGACTTCTGTGGAAGGCGAAACTATTTAAAGATGAGAATTTGCAAATCAGCTGAGTCAACTTATTTTAAAATATTAATGTCCTGCTGCAGCAATGTTTCTTTAACTTCTTGAAAGTGTGATGGTTTTCCCACTAATTCTGAGCTTTCAGAGTTTCCCTCCGTGGCCTGGGGAGGAGAGGGGGGAAAGGGATGGCCTCAGGCATGTTCTGCCTGCAGCCACTCTCCTGCCCAACTGGTACTGAGCTGTTGCCAACACTCTAAGCCAGCTTACCAGCTCCTGGTGCAGTGTAAATGCTTGCAGCCAGTGATCCCTGATCACTATCCCTCTGTTCCTTTGGAGGAACTGGTGCTGCTGCTGATGACTTAAATCCATCTGCTGGTGGTGCCTTCTGCATCCTTTGTGGGTGGAGGTCCCCAGCATGAACAGCTCTGCTCCACCAGTATGATGGTGGTACGGTCAGCCTGTCCAGTGTTTGCCCTGAAGCATTTGCCACCAGCTGTGGCTGGCTGGTTACCACTGAGTGGATAAACCAAAATTACACCTGAAAAATAACTTACGTTTATTCCACTTCCAAGGCAAAGGCACTGTCAAGAGAGATGTCAAAGCTGCTAATTCATTACCTTCTTATTCATCGCTCCAGGGGAAGGCAAAGGAGGATCAAACCTCTATGTGGGCATTCCTTACTCCATAGCAAGGTTCCTGCCTGCCCAGCCTAAGGGGAAACACCTCTGGGTTGGTTTTTTGCTCCCTTAAATTTCGACAGTCAGTTACTCCTTTACACGGAGATAAAGTGTGTGTGTGCAGGAACAAAACCGACGTGGTGGACAGAAATAAAACTATACACTTCACGAAGCTGGTAAGACTCTACTGTGCCAGTGGAAATGAATTCACACTGAGATTTGATGTGTGCTGTGAACAAGATGGAAAACAGGCTTAATCTTTGAAGGGCACCACACGCTAGTTCCTCTGCAGGAGTGTGAAAATGGTCTATTTGCATGAACTTCACAGTTGGTGGGCTACAGTCTTTTGCTGCAAAATGCCGCACCTTCTTACTGTTACCTTAGTGATGGGTTTGTACTTAAAAATGTAGCAGCTGCAGTTCCCAATATAGCCTGCTGAAGACTTGTCCATGTGATGTTGCCTTGTCTCCTGGCTTTCCTATGTGTTTAACAACCACCCTGAAGTGTCTAGATGTTTGTAGACAAAAAGCGAAGGAGAGGAAGAGGGAAAAGGAGATGTGAGGAGGGTGCTGCTTGTTTAGTGCAGCTCTGCACCTACCTGCGTATGTCTTGAATGAAAAGCTGGCGGCAGTGGGACTAGCTTACAAAAACCAATACTTTTCAATTTCTCCCTGCAAAAACTGAGGCTTGGATGGCACTATTTTGCTGGTTGGATATGTGCATGTATGTTTCAGCTCTTCTAAAGTCAAGGGGTTTCTAAGTAAAGTCCAAGTGTAGGTGTATATATGTATTTAACATGTGTCAAAATGATCCAAGTGCTGCGCTGCTAAATAGTGTGCTAGTGCTTGACGGATGATTCTGCTTGGGGGTAGTGTACGGACATGGCGTTTATCAACGTCTGTCATTGGAGAAACTTCACAGAGGGAGAGCAGATCACATTAAGAGGCTTGGAATGAAGAAAATGGGTATAATTTAGAATTTCATTTGTGAAATCCATTTTACAATTAAGGAGGGTTTGTACTGAAAGTCACGTTATCCTTTTGCAAGTCTCCTGGTTCCTGGGGGAATTTAACTATAGAGATGAGACAACGAGGTGTTCTCCAGAAGCATTCAGTCATGGAATTATATTAAATCATCAGACTGCCAAAAAGCTTTTTAGTGTCATGCTCAATTATAATTAGAGGTGATTAAGAAGCTTAAATATGTCACAGGCTGAAGAAAAAGTAATGCTAAATGTAGGAATGGCAGCCCAGACAAATTCCTGGTTTAAAAATTCATGCTAGAATGGATGTCAGTTGGTCAGTCAGAAATTCATATTAAAATAGGAGAAAGACACACAGCTGCTGGTGATGTTTGTTTTTTACAATGCAGAGCTTCCTGTAATGGCGATGGTAGGTAATTAGGATTGCAAAAAGCATGTGAAATTAGATATGGAAAAACACTTAAGGGGTTGTTTCAGTTGACCAAAGCTGACAGTTATATGAAATGTGTGTAAAAGTGTTTTTCTTTTTCTAGAGACTTAATACCTATAGTTGCTGCTCTGGAGTATAATCAGTGGTTTACAAAGCTGTCCTCCAAGGATCTGAAATTAGTAAGTAATAAAGTGAAACTATTTACCTGCTCCTACCAGGCTTTGCTGTGTTTTAGAGGATGCTACTGCATTTTTCAAGGTAAACTTTTTAAGGCAAGTACAACTGGGCAATCTATTGAATTTTTTTTTCTCTTAGTCATATCAGGAAAATACAAACCCTTGGATAGTTAGTTTGTGCCATAGAAACACTGCCAAGAGTCAGGTCTTGTCAAAATTTCAAGTGAAGGAAGTCTGAAAAAAACCTTTGTTTTGCAGTAACAGTAGCCCATAAAACTATTTTGTTAGGCATTGGTGGCTCCCTCAGACAGTATTGGGTGACTAAATAGGAAACTAACTCTAAAGCAGCCCGAAATCTCAGTTGCTTTTTGGAGGTGGAAAGAAAATACCAAGATTCTGTTTTTTTTGTTTTCTTGCATATAAAACAAGTTTTTCCTCTTAATTTTCATTGCAACGTGGTGAATTTTTCTCCCAGTTGTCTGAAGCTAACCCGGTGTAGTAATAAGTGTGTAGTGATGTGTGGCATTGGTGTTCCTCCACATCAGTTTTCTTTCTTGAAAGCAAAAAGGGGGCAAATCTAAACAAGTTGGACTACTGAAGAAAGGGGCAAGAACATCAGTAATCAGGTGACTTTTAAAGTGTATTAAAGTATACTATTTGTTCTAAACTTGAAAATTTGTAGTCACAGGTGGAGTTAGTGCTTTGAAAAACTGTTTGCACACTTGCATCCACAAGCTTTTTGTCCTTTTAAAAATGAAGGTTGAGTCTCATTTGCACACTTGCATCCACAAGCTTTTCGTCCTTTTAAAAATGAAGGTTGAGTCTCATCTTGTTTAAATTGATGCAGTTTTATTGATCTGAAAATATTCTTACTGCATTCCTAAGCTATAATTTTCTAAGAAAATTCAGTAGAAACTAGCTTACGTGATTCTTGGCAGAAGAGTGGGCAAATAGCTTTTCTTTCTTGATGGACATCTTACTTGAAATTAGGCACAGAATGAAAGGGGGGGATATTTTTAGTCGTGTTATAGTTTGCTGTTAAAATCATAATTGTTAAAAGGTACTGCACAGAATGAAAGGGGGGGATATTTTTAATCGTGTTATAGTTCGCTGTTAAAATCATAATTGTTAAAAGGTACAGTGCAATTAATCCCTTTTTGCTTCAGTGAAATGATGTAGTTTTCTTAGTTACAAGACTGACCAGTGTAGTTTGCTTAGAATAAAAACTGGCCTTGTTATCTGTCTTGAGATATTTTTACGTGAAAGTTTTTTGAGGTACAGTACAATTAATCCTTTTTTGCTTCAGTGAAATGATGTAGTTTTTTTTAGTTACAAGACTGACCAGCGTAGTTTGCTTAGAATAAAAACTGGCCTTGTTATCTGTCTTGAGATATTTTTACGTGAAAGTTTTTTGGAATTCTTAGCAACTTTTCTTTGGAAAACAAACAAACTTTGTCAACCTTGAAAATGCACCAATTCTTTAAAGAAAAAACAAAAACACACCAAAAAAACCCTTTTTATCTTCCACACATTCCATTTTCAGTCAAAAACACAAGAAAAACCTAAATTGTTGGACAGTAAATCTGTGCCATAGGAACACTGCTGAGGGTCAGTATGAGGTCAGACATATCCGGAGGCCATTGAATGCTTTGTGCTTCATGAGTCCTGCTCTGACATTGTGTTTGATAGATGGTATCCATAGTGTTTTTATAGTACATGCATGAAACTTTCCGCTTGCAATCACACTGCTGTAGAAGCGTTGTGGTAATATTCTGAATTATTGAAATACGGAAGGCAAAGACAGAATTGGGAAGATGGCTGAGTTGGCAGTTCAGAAAAAGTTGTCCCCTTTACTGTGTAAAGGATGAATAAGATTTGATGTGTGTGGTAGATCAGGTTTTTTGTTTTTAGGAGATTCAATTAGTTTAAAATTTAAATCCTAGAAAATGTCAGTCTGTCATTAGAGACACAGATGTCCCAGGTATGAATGTCACATTGTCTTTAAAGGCGGATAACAGAATAGTTTCAGCACTTCATGATCATAACTGAAATTCAGCTTTGGACTTTACATGAATGTTGGTTAGTGTGTACTTTGAGGAAAAAAAGGCAAATCCAGAAGCGAAATAAAAGATTATAATAAAAGGTGATGAGGTACAGAGTTCACTGTATGGCTTTTGAATCATTAAGGTTTTATCTCTATTTGAATGAGCACAGCAAACAAACTCTTTTGTTATCATGTTTTGTTCACGGTACTTGCAAATGTCCATGGAAATTCTAGAATCCAACAACAGTAAGATCATGAGATGGGATTTACTTCTGTGTAGGTTGGGAGAATTCATACTGAAATACATCGAACCTTAAACACTAGTCCTTATCAGTCTTTGGAGGACCTGTAGCTAGAGTGCATTTGCTCCTGAGTGTTTTGTTTGGGGGCTTTTTTTGGTCTGCCTTATAACATCTTTCTTTGTGTTTGTTTGTCATTCCTGGTCTGGCTTTATTCTTCTTTGCACTAGTTGCCACTTTCTTCTTCTGGATTAGCATGCATATGAACAAGATTTCTTTAAAAAATTAAGTGAGCATTTTTTCTGAATCACAGGGTTTGGGGTTTTTACTGCTATTATAAAAATATTGCCCCCTATGATTAGGTGGCCAGCTTCATAAATGAGTCACTTTTAGTCTGCCTTTGGCATCACTGTGTCTTTTCCAGAAGTTCTCTGTTGCCATCTGACTCTCTCTCTGGGATGTTCCTGGTATTCTTACTCACTATTTATGTATAACAAAAAGCTGATCACGGCCTAGATCCCGTTACGATGTACAGCTTATAATTCAATAACCATCTGTTCCATGTTTGTGTTGTTTAATACTGTTCTGTCTTTTCTGTGGCAGTCCACTGATGTCTGTGAGCAGATCCTGCGGGTGGTGAGTAGGTCCAATCGATTGGAAGAACTGGTGTTAGAGAATGCCGGGCTTAGAACGTAAGTAATTCATTTGAAATGTTGCATTAGTTACTGCTTACTTCCAGTGAAAAGGATGTGTGATGTGTTAGCCAGAATAAACATTAAAAAACCTTGTGCTTGATGTCTGCCTTCTACTGGGAAGCTGGTAGTTACAAGATTTTTACCAGGTTTTCCAGAGGTTCCTTATGTCCAAGAACTCCCTTTAAAGTGATGTTTTGTAAGATTCTGCCTGGAGAATTGGGTTAAGTGAAGCAAAATGGATTGGGTAAGAGAATGAACACTAAATCAGCTCACACTGTTCCTCTCCAGATATAGTTGCCAATAGAAGTGTGAACACCTTTTTATCATTTAAAAAACAGTGTTTGATGTTTGTTAAAAAAGCGTATTATTCCATCTTGCATAACAGATTATTGTTTCATTCTGAAGAGAGCTGGTTTTGTCTTACTGTGGATTGCAGTCTTCTCAAATATAACATGATTTACACATTAGCAACTTTTTTAAAGAAGCAAGAAAGTAAATTATTAAGTTTAATACCTTGCCATAGCCTTAAAAGAAAGGTACATAGAGATAAGCCATGCGATTTAGTCCTTGCACATGTTTTAAATACAGTAAGTTGTAGTGGCTAGGTAGTGGCTTTTTTTCACTTCACAGGAAAGCAAAGTTCAAGTTACAAACTAGCCCAGCGGTAAGTATTTGAGGCTTGTTTTAGTATTAGAATAGTGTCCAAAACCATGTAAACAAGATAAACTCTGGTGCTAATGGATTTCTGTGTTAATAAAAAAAGTAGTGGAAAGGTGGGAGAAGCAGAACACCATACAGAATTACAAATAAAGAAGGGAAACAAGCGCAGGGGGAATATTTGGTGTGCTTTACATTGTTTCCTCTTCCATCGTTTGGGTCTTTTCCCCCTTATTTTGCATTGAAACACCTTTACAAGAAAATCGCCTAAATGACACTGGAAACTTCAGGTGGAGTTTGGAACTGCATCCAAAGTTTCTGATCGCTAGTGTGCTGCCTTGAGTAGCTGTCATTCAAACATAAGCACTTGATTTTAATCTCGTTTTTCTTGCAGTGTGTGCCATGAAATTCAGTGATAATTATTAATACGAAAGGATGCATTGACTGCCTGTGCACATTGTCTACCTTAACTTGTCACAGTTGGATTAACTGGTTTCAGTTTTAACAGGACTTGACAGATAATCAGCCTGTGACTTTGCTTTTTATGTCTCCATCTACATGCGCAGTGTTTGGCATTTTGCCTTGGTGTGTATCTGCTCTGATCAGCATTGTCTGTCTGTTTTTCTCAAGGATACATTTGTCAGTTTTGCTATTTATCATGTCTGCTTGCTAGGAGGAAATCCTGTTGTTACTGGGTATCTTCCTTCGCATAGCTTACAGACCAGTCATTTTTAATGAGCTGTGACAGACTGCCGGAGCAGGGTTAAGAAAGTGTTACCAAGAGCAGTGCTTTCAGAAATACCTGAGCAGCTGTAAGAGCATATTTCTTCTTGCAGCAGGGTCAGTTTAAGACTATTTCATTCTTCTCTACCTCCAGCTACTCATTTCTGTGATTCGGTTTGGGCCATGGCCCCTTAAACACTTGTCATCTTCCCAGCTGATGAGACAGCAAACTATTGTGCAATAGTACTTGTAAGGACCCAGGACTAGGGAACTGCGGACTTGCTGTTGGGGAAAACAGATTGTCAAGTGAAAGCCCCTGTCTGATAAGATTTGTGCCAGTTTAGTTGCTCTTGAAAATTTTATCCCCATTGCTATTTCTTTAACAGATGTAAGGGGTGCAGTCTAGATTACGTTGGATGCCTTTTATGCATATAGCAAATGCTAATGTTTTGGTGTCTTAACTGAGGTAGGTGATGTCCAGATTTCAGGGAAAGGAGAATCATTCAGGGCAACCTGAACAAATGAGCTCTAAAAGAGGGTTACACCCCTGAGGTGTTTCAGAGTAATGGGACAATATATGATAACCAGAATATTAATTTCCATGAAACTGCGTGAGAGATTCTTAAGTCTGCAAAGGCCTGTTTGTAGGAGCTAGTGAAAATGATGTATTTGTTCTGCTTACGTACTCTCTGAAAGCTGGCGCGCAGAATGTCCCTACTGCCTTCCACACCGTCCTCGCCAACCCTGTTCCACGGGGAACAGCTGGCTGTGACAGAGGGGGACCAACAGAGATGGCTGCTGCTGGTACCCGGAGGGCCTTTGACAATGACATTGCATTTCATCTTCCCCGGCTGGATGGGCTCTGAATGTCCTTAAACCTAACAGTGTTAGTTCTTCCACATGCATCCTCTTTTTTTCTGTTACTGGGATGTTGTCTAGACAGATCTTGAGGAAGTGCTTTGTTTGACTGAGATTTCCAGATCTGTGGTGTTCTTATGCTTGGTGAAATATCCTTACTCTGCCATACATATAGTTAAATTGATTCTTTTTTGGGCTTTACCTCCAAGCCTGAATGTCCTCAGTTCAGGCGAGCATGGCTGCATAATGCTCCTACAGAGCAAGTTTGATGCTCTGTAGGAAGTGTCAGACTTACATTGCATGCTCTGTTCATGAAGTGTGCAGCCAAAAAAGGTAATAAATTTTAGGACTTGAAACAAAGAGCGAACAAAGGAGGGGAAGCGATGTTGCCTGGTGAGCAGAGCCCAGGTGCCTCTGTTTATGGTAGAGGCTGCACAGGGATTGGGGAGGTTATGTTAGTTTTTTCCAGAATGAGCCTTGGAGCTCCATGTGCCCTACATAAATAATCCAGTGCGTTCTGGTAACAGTGGATTTACTGTTCCTTTGCTAAATAGTTCACAAATGCCCCAGTTGTCCAAAACGTTCTGGTAATCTTGCCTATATTGGTGGCAAAACCTGGAACAGAATTTGTAAACAAGCCTGGAGGTGTAGGCAGGCCACTGTAATGACAAAAATTTGTTAGGGTTAAAGGAAAAGGAGGAGACTCTCCGTGAAGAAAGGTTTGTTTGTTTGGTTGGTTTTTTAACTGAAAGCCTTTTTTTTTTTTCTGGACATAAGGATTTTGATTCAGTTGCCTAAGCACAGGCATCTAGTGCCATTTGAAATGCTGGAGGGTGTTCACAGAGTTTTGGCAAATGTAACTGTTCACCTACAGGAGATAAGTAGTCTTCCACAGCAGCAGCTGGTAGCAAAGCAGGATACCCTGAGGCCTGTCAGGTGGCAGAGATTAAAGTCCAGAATTTCTTTTTGTTAGAGTATTCACATGCTGCTTGTATTTTATGAAAGAATTTGCTTTTCCTAAAGGCAGCCTATGCTTTTCCTAAAGGCAGCCCATCATCATGTGTTTGCAGTGCTGGAACCTGTTCTAGACCAAAGAGTCTGTCTAAGGACATGGGGTTTCAAATGGAAACTAAACTTCTCTGGAATGTCTCTGTACTGAAGTACACCTTGCAATAACAGATAACCTAACCAAAAGCTATTGAGGCTGTTGCTGTCCAGTCTCCACTGTTTTCCAGATACTTGAAGAGGATGCTACCTCCACTGCAGTTCTCAGCACCCAGAATGATATACTAGTGTTGTGGTAGGCAGGATGTGTCCTGGGGAAAGAGGGCAGTGCTAATTGTCACTCTTCCAGCAATGTAGCTGGTAGTTCTCCAGCACTGGCCTACAGGAGGTAAGATAATATACTTCAAGGCAGGGAGAGAAGGAAGCTCAAGGCATATTTTTGATTTCTACCTCAGTGTCTAACTTAAGTGAGGTAAGAACATTGGAATTATAGTCTCACTTGAACAAAAGCGCACAGTAGGGCTAGTCCCTTCATGCATGAAAGCTTTCCAGTAGGTACAAGGACAGGTTTGAGGATCTATCTTAGAGCTGGTAACAGCCAAGAGCCTTCTGATTTAATCCGAGGAACATTTCTCCACTGGAGTCTGACAGTGTGGTGAAAACCCAACCCATTCAGTGTTGTGGGTGGGGTAGTCCAGCTGCTGCAAAACGCTCTGAGGTAAAGTAGCATTCCCTTGCCTCTCAAGTGGATTTGGAAGAGAGGTAGGTCACACTACTATAGCTACCTACCAGAGTTGGTTAAAGTTCCTGGGCTGGCTGTTGTGAGCATTATAAGCTGATAAACTATCGTCTCTCTTGGGACACATTGCCAGGACTGTGGTCAGCCAGTTATGTACTTCGATGCTTCTCACTGTTAAAAGATACAAGCAAAGACCAGTTCATCAGTGTGCTGCTGTTCTTTGAGAGAGCTATTCCCACTGTTTCACAAGGTCAAGGTCAGAAATACTCCTAGTTTGTTGACCTTCTGGATATGCTGCAAAGCCCATCTGTTTGAGTCACTGTTGATGGAGAGCTGCTGCAAGGGAGGGGGTAGGCATGTGAGTGAAGGAAGTAGTGGTATGCAAGTTGATGTACGTATCCCACTCATGCACAGTGTGGAGGAGATAGAAGATGTGCTCGAGTTTTCAGTTATTCTGTGTAACTCCTATTTTATATCTTTAGATTTTTATCAAAAGCAGTTTGAGCTTTGATTGAGTGCCCTTCAGTCTCTTAGGTCACTGAATAAATAATAAAATAACCTGCTTTGAAAGATAGCAAATTAGCCAGACAAGCACTGTATAAAACTCTGAAGAATCAGTTACTGCTCTGCAGTAGGATGGGCCCCTTTAGCCTAGTAATCCGTTGACACTTTTAAGCCTCTGAATGTGCTGTTGGTGGAGGAGATAACAGGATTCTTTCTCCCTCTCTTTTTATTTTCTTGCAGAGATTTTGCACAGAAACTAGCCAGCGCCCTAGCCCACAACCCCAACTCAGGACTCCATACGATCAACCTTGCTAGCAATCCACTTGAAGACAGAGGTACTGTAACATTTATATTTTTCTCTTTCTACAAGTGTAATGGGAGGATTACTGCTGCTCCCTTCGGCTTTGCCTGAATAATAGGTTATTGTTCTCTGTGTGATGCTCTTGTAAATATCTGTAGTATACAGATAGACTGAGAATTGCTATTCTTTTTTGATTTATACATATCTATTAGCTTCTTGAGAAATATTTGAATGTCTTAACCAACCATGGATTTCATTAGATTGTGTTACATTTTCATAGAGGTTTCTTTTAAAGGAAGATAGAACACAGTGACTGTTTAGGACTAGAAAGTAAGTAAAGTGGTGTGTATTTTTAAAGGCAATGTAATCAATTGAAAGATGAAGCATAAGGCAACTTTGTTGTTTGGATTATGTTTTCCTGATGGTTTTGTGGTTTTATTTCAGCCATTATTCTGTACTTATTTTCAGTATTGAAACTATTCATTTTTTCAGCTTTGCATTAGTCCATAGTGTTGTCAGTACTTGACGATGTTCGGTAATACTGACGTAACCGGCACCTTTATGGAGCAAAGTGCTGTTGACTCCACAGGGTGGAAAATTAAGCTGAACAGCTCAGCTTTTCTCAGACTAGGCATCCCTAGGCGTGATTTCAGTACATATCAAGTCAAGTCATTCCCCTCCCTTGTCTGCAGTCTTTTCACCCGAGAGGCTTTTATGTTTAAAATAAGGTTACATTCTTTCAGTCTGGAGTTGACCCTTCAGCACTGCCCATGTGAGATTTCAATTTGCTTCACTTAAATGCATTCCAGGCACACAGTGTTCTGGGATCAGACTATCTTGTGCTCCTTTTGGGCCAGAAGAAAAATAAGAATTTTATACAGTAAACCGTTTCTTGTTTTATTTGCTTTGTTTTAGGGAAATTTTCCAGTCTCTTTGCTGTCGTGATTCAAAATGGAAAAAAATGTTGATTTTGATTACAACCTGAGTGGCTCAGAATGTTGCTAACACAGTTTTGTAGGTGTCTCTCTTGCTGTTTCAGCAAGTGAAAAAGGATAGGAAGGGTTGTTTTCCCCTCCTCTTTTGTATCTGTCATACCACATGAAAGCCAATGTTTGCTGTGTTTTGCTGAAGAACATTATTATTACAGTGTGCCTTAGGCCAACTGCACTGGACAAAAGTTTCTGTTGTAAGTTGGAAAACGGGCTGTCACATTGTTGATTCTGCTTTTGAAGAAGTGTATTTAGATTGTGTTATATGGAAGGTTTCTTTAAAATAAAATAATTTTTATCTTGAAAACAAAACAAATGACCAAAGCATTTGGTAGATATTCTACAGTGCAGGGGATTTTTTTTTTTTTTTTTCAAGCATATCAGCGTGGGTACTTTCTTTGCAACAAACCTCTAGGTTCAAACCATTCTGCAGTATTTACATACAGGATACAAATGGAATGAAGAAACTACAACTTGGAGAAATTAATAGGGTTTTTTTGTTATCTCAGTCTCTCCTATCGCATATGCAATTAAGATCTGACCTTTCCGTTAGCGAATTAGATAAGTTATATGAGTACTTAAGGAGAAATTAACTATAATTGCAATGTGCAAAGATTGCAGCTTTTCAGTTTAAGAAAGATTTACGTATCTCGTGATCTGATGTTCTCTGAGTGCAAGGTAGAGTTGACTTTATTAAACTGAAGGGACGGCAAGCATTTCACAAGTAAAAGCTGGCATAATGGAGATTCATGTAAATATATGTATTTCAGAAAATTATTGAAAAATCGCCTCTGCGGAAACTTGAAGTTCAACTGGATTATTTTGCAATTATAATGGAAATAACACAGAGTTGTATTAATTATGAGGAAGAACGTATTGTTGTGCCTTGTTTGAACAGAAAAACACCCTAAGCTATTATATGTTCTTGAGTACCAATAAGTAAAGACGTTCTATTATTACATTAATGCAACTATCTGTATTTGAGAAGTGTGTTTAGTTTATCTAAGGCATATGACCTGACTTCAGTTCAAATACAAAGCAGTCTTTATATGAAGTGATTTTACAGAGACCAGTCTCTTAATTTGTGATTAGCTTCCCTTTATGGTACTGTCAATATTTGTGAAACTAACACCTGGAAAATTTGTTATCAGTCTTGCCTTTAAAATCTAGCCATACTGAAGCAATGGGAGTTTTGCTTTTGGCTCTGCTAGGATCAGAATTTAATCTCATGTTTTGTTAAAAATAATACAAAACATAGTGAAGCCTAAAAATACTCAAATTCAAAACTGTGTGCCTGGATGTAGTTAAGTTTACTTCTGCTATTGGAGCTCTCATGTCTGTTATGATATCAGCAAAAACGGGCATCTTAAAGAGTGTTCAAGGGCCTGAGTGACCAGAAGGGCTTTTTCTTTTCTGCATGTGATTCCTGTGTCATATAACTGGGTGGCTTCTTAACGCCCAGCACTGGTAAGATCTTAAAATTATCCAGCTCAGCTAGGGTGATAAGTGGTCTGCGGATTGTTAACTAAATACAAAGATGGAGAGATAAAATTATTTGCTGCACTTCTTACCCAAAATGCTTCAGAACAAAAATTACATTTGTGATATCCTTAATGATTCTGATTGCACTCCCTTTTCTCCTCTCTTGCCAGCATAACTTTACCTTGATTTTTGAACGTATATTTTCTAACTAAACCAGCTCAACAAAAGTGGACAGTCAGCTACAGAATATAAATTCTGAGGTCAGTTTAAGGTAGATTGAGCCTTCTACTTCAGAGGAGCTAAAAAGTTTTGGGTTTTTTTTACATAGTAGAGCTATGAAAGAAAGTCCTATTAATGATTTGATTCATTCTAGCTGAAAGTTGATAAGTCATACAGTTACCACTGTGTTTTACAGCAAATGATGCTGAGACATCATCAGTCTAACATTTTGGCAGTACAAATAAAATACAGTATGGTGTTCTGAGCTGCATGGACATTGCGCCTATCACCAGCATACACAAGATGCTTTTACAGAGAGCATTAAAACCCCTACAACAATATCTGGAGGGTAGCTGCTCTTTCATTATCAATGATAGGTAAAACATGATAAAAGCAGAGTAAGCATATGTATGTAACATACTAGTGGACAGTTTCATGTCTGCATATGTGGAGAACAGTATCAGCTTTTTCATTTACTGTGTTTTGAAACAAGTAAAAGGCTTTACCCCCTTTCTCTTTGCCCTTTTCTCTCCAAGTGAATTGCTGTAGAGGACTATGTTTTACACCTCTGGTTAAGCCTGGAGTTTCTGTGTTGATTTATTCCTCTAATAAATATTTAATGGATTGGTTCCATTGTTATTTAGGATGAGCCCTCTTAATCAAATTTCAATCTTTTGCTTAAATGGAGGGATTAAATTTATGGAGTGTGCAACTTGGACGCACTGAGAAAAGGCTTTAATGAAAAGTGCACTTTTTTTTTTTTTCTTTCGTTGGATTTGTGCTGAGGTAGTCCAGTCTATGTCAGCATCTTAATAGGATTTTACTGTTTGGGGCCCCAAGTGGTTGTAGCATTTCCAAGCCTGCGTCCTGGCTGGTACCCTGCAGGCTACTGTAAAGGAGTTAAGTGTCCGTTACAACTTGGTGGAGGTTTCAGACCCTTAGGATTTATCTCAGAAAAAGAGGTTAGTGTTAGCTATGGTGGGTGTCTCTCCTGCGTTGGCAGCCCTTCCTTTTAAAAGAAAGTGAAAATAGTTCAATTTTCACGTGAAGTACCATTTTTAGGTTTTATTTTGTGGTTGGTTTTTTAATGCTTTTTTTTTTTTTTTTGGTCTGAACCATAGAGCTTCCAGATGTCCCAAGTGCGGACTGTTTCACATGTGTAATGTCTTCCCTTTGACTCCTTCTTGAAAATATGTGTGCACTATATAGTTTTTAAATGAGTTAAGGTGGCTCACTGATCGTTTAATAGCAAAGTTCCCTATCTGTTCAGTGGTTAGCAAAGAAGGGATCTTGGCTACATCAGTCATTTCAGAGATTTATAGTCATAAAACGATGAGGTCATTTTGGGCCCAGCCTGACAGTGAGTGCAGTTTGTCATGTAAGAGTGTTTGCCCCTGGTGTGATTGCTGGGAAAACCTGAGATCACACAGTTGATCTGAAAACGTCCGTTTTCTCTTTGCTCCCCAAATAGGTGTGTCATCTTTGAGCATCCAGTTCGCCAAACTTCCAAAGGGCCTGAAACATTTAAATTTATCTAAAACCTCCTTGTCACCTAAAGGTATGTTTTATAAGTATGCCTCTTTTTTCTGTTCTAAAAGTTTCAGGCTTCCATCCTAATAATACCTTTTGTTACTGGATTATAAAGTAGTTAGTTCTGTAAATTATTTACATGTGCATTCTCAACAGCACAGGGGCTGAACCGTGGGCTGGGTTCTGTGTCCCTTTCAGTACTTTGAAAACTCTTACTTCTATAAGCTTTTGAGCTTGAACCTGTATTGTAAAGAAAGATTGAATTTAGAATTGGCATAAATGATGTTTCATATATGCTTCAAAAAGATGCCTGAAGCAAAAATATTTAGGGAACTTTCCAAATGTTTTGCACGCAATTATTTTATGAAACACAGTGTTGTGACAATGGCTGTTAAGTGGTTTGCTCTGAGTAAAGACTTCTTTGTTTGATAATTGACAAATTTCTGATTTGATATTGTAATGGAAATGTATGTATATTTTAAAAGGAATAACAGTATTGAAACAGAAGGCAGAAGTTTTCAGAGTCTTTTCCTTTGCTGTTTTACAAATAATGGATGCAGTGACCTCTTAAACAGACTGCACAACCCCAGAGTCTCCTGTATAGAACATGAATGTTAAAAATAGAAAAAATGCACTGACATTACTGAAGCTTTTCGCAGATGTTGATGACCTGGAAAAGATGAGTGATGGTATATGGAGGACATTACAGATAGTAGCCATGCTCTTTTATCCTTTTAATTATTGCTCTGTGAAGCGCAGATTCTGCGTTCTCCTAGGCTTTAAGGGTTGACCTGGGGGAGTATGGGTGGGGAGAAGGGGTTTTTTGTTGGTTTTTATGAATGTGTGTAGCTCTTTTTATGGTTAACTAAATAGTAAACCCTAAACTGAATTTATTCAATCATGATTTTCATTAAAAAGACTTTATTAAACTCTGGGCTTGTTTTTTTCCACTGCTGACTCTATTTTTGGTGACAAGCAATTAAGAATCTTGACTAAGCTTACGTGTACTTGTGAAATTAGATGTTCATGAATTTGACAGAAATTCATGCAGTTCTGGTATGTTCGTGCATCTTGTGCTTTTTCTTCGTGTGACCTGAATGATTTCAGCAAGTGCTTGTGATCATTGAGTCAGGAGAACTTACTCTTACTCTTCTGTTTTCATAAAGAATAAGTGCCAGTTTGATGAAGTTTATCCACAAAACTCTTGTCAGTAAAAACGAATTTTGAGGTTATGAAAAGAATTCAGAAGGTTTTTAACACACTTTTTAAAGACAATTTTTAAACAAAAGCTGAAAATATTTTCCAGTATGTCTAATACTGACCTTATGTGAATCCTAGTCCAGACTGCATTGCAATAACTGTCTATTCTCTAGACAGTAACATGTCACCATGAATATTGGCATATGTCCATGGCCACTTCTCAATATTCCTTAAAAAAGTAGACATGATGTCTTAAAATAGTAATTCTTGCAACCCTCTGGACCTGAAGAAACTCAGCTTCACCTCTTTGGTTGACTGCAAAGCTGTCTGTCTTAGCCAGTTTTCCTTTAACTTAAGAAGACAGTACTGAGTTCGTTTTAACTTGGGAGGTTGTTTTTGAACTTGTAATATTGAGGGGGGTATATTGTAACATTTTCTGTGGGGAAAGTCTAAAGGAGACCTTGGATCTTGAATTCGGTAGACTCCAAGATGCATGGATTTCCCCCCCGTGTCCCCAGCCTTTTTTCTTTTTTCTTTTTTCTTTTTTTTTCTTCTTTTTTTTTTTTTTTTTTTTTTTTTTTTTTTTAGCATTTTTGTTGTAGAAATTTTCTCTCCGAGATATGAGGGTCCCTGACGGAGTTTTTTTTTTTTTTTTTTTTTTTTTTTTTATTTTGAGCTTTTCAGTATCAGAAATTCTGTGCAATCCCTCACTGGTTTTGACCTTATTTAAAGAGCACTTTCTATTCGAGATAAGTTTCTAAGATTGAGAAGTGAAGTTCAGGTGGTAACTTCCCAACTGATCTTTCTTCAAATATTGTATCCCAAAGTTCCTGAGAGCTATTAACACTCTGAGCCTCCTGAGAGCAGTAAAAGAGCATGAAAGATTGTCTGCAAATGAAAGTGAGATTACTGTTAGAGTGTAACATGAGGTAGGTGAAGTTCAAACAAAAATGTATTGGTTTGAAGATTCTGTTTAAATGGAAAATTCTAGTACACTCATTCAAAGACAGGGCTTGCCTTTCTGAACCCAAGCCAAAGGCTAATTAAAAAATCCCTTATTCATGTTGTTTGCCTTCAGCGATGTGGCTGTTTTTGAGCAGTTGTCCCTTTTTAAACATGAAACAAGCAGCAACATTACGGATTGCTGGATAGCTCTTCTTCTCCCCCAAACTCAGACACTGCTCCTGAATTCCCAGAATTGGTTCTCAATAGTATATGCTGAATTGTTGACAGTACATTACATTCATTTCTACTTCTTGTTGTTGCTTATAAATGCTGTTGAGAAGATTCACTCAAGTGAATCCAGAGCTATAAGCTCTAGTTGTTAAACAGAGCTTTTAAATCTTTCAAAGTTTCAAAAAGTATTCTTTTGCAGTTTACCTTTATAGACAGGGTGTGGATTCAACAATGCTATGTTAAAAGAAAATTACACTGAACAAAAAAGTTTTGAGACTTGGCAAAGGTGTCCCTGTGGCTCCTGAAGCCATAGAGCCATGCTACTATCATGGAAGTCTTTCTTAACATTTGGAAGCTTGGAAAACTAAACCACTTAAGTATTTTGATCTCCAGTGGCTTGCTAGCTGCTTCTTCCACATCCCCACTCATAAATCAATTTCATAATAGTTTTTAATTGAAGAATGGACACGTCCTGTCCATTGAATGCCAGTCCATTTTCACTGCCCAGTAACCTTGAGAAATTGCCCAATATTGTGTAGTAGGTCAAAACACCTGCCCACTTCATAGCTTTGGCCAGGCATTTAGAAAACATACACATGTACTGCTTGAAAGGCAGCAATAGCCATCTACACTAAATTAAAAACTTGGTGATAAGCTACAGAACCCTGGGATGAAAGTTAGATTTACTGGCAGTAGCCACGTCCTAATGTGTATTTTGAAAAGCTGAAGAATTTTAGAGGAAGAAATCTCTAACTGGTTTGTTCCCAATGAGAGCTTCTTAATTTTAATGCGAAAAATATTTGTTTGTTCTGATCAAGAACTGAGAGTCTTTATGGATCTCTTGGTATTTTAATTACTAACTATTTTTCTGACTTTACAGGCAAATACGTAATTGAAATATTTTTAATTTCTAGGTCTCATCAGTTACGTTTGAAGTTCTGCCAATTATAACTGTTAATGTACTTGGTCTTTCACAGATGCTTTAATCTACTTCCACAGATACTTTTATTTAAATATTGTTTGCAGGAAGACACTGTCTTAACATTATGGAGTAAACCCTGCTTTAAAAACTTGTTTCAAAATGGGATTGCACTGTTAAAGCCATTGTTAACTTTGCAAAAAGACTTCTTCCCTGGATCCAGGACCTATAACACATGTTGGCTCCATCAGGGCAGCTGATGGAGTGTGGTCAGGGCAAAACAGAACCTGCAGAGTCTCCTACCTGTGTGGTGATCTGTCTTCCTGCTGCGGTACGGTGGTGGTGACAGGAGGTCATTAAACATTTATTTATGTCTGTGTTCACTGAAATAGTGCACTTGTAGGGTCTGGGCTCATTTTGTCTAGAGTAGACTTGAGTACTGACATTTGTTTTTTGCAGGGGTGAATAGCCTTTCGCAGTCACTGAGTGCCAACTCGCTGATCACAAACACGCTCATCTATCTTGACCTCTCAGGGAACATGCTCCGTGGTGATGATCTCTCAGTAAGCACTTTCTTCTCATTTGCCAGTTAATGTATGGATGTTTTAATTCATTGTTAAAAGAAAGGCAAAGCCATTTTGCTTAGATCCTTTTTGCCTTTATTTCAGTACAGTTCTAGTAGGGATGGAAAATAACATTTTGATCTCTACTCTTCAGTATATAGTCAGAGAATTAAGTTGCCCAACACAAATAAACAAATCCACATAATTTTAGTTCATACTTTTGGTCCTTGGATTCTACTGATAAATGAGAAAACTGCAAGTGTGCCACTTATTTCAGTGGACTTACCATGCTCCCTGAGTTCTGTTTGAAAGTGGCCAAAACACCATTTAAGAACCGCATCTTCTTTTGAGTGATAAGTGTATTACAAATTTTTAATTGGAAGGTTGGAAACAATTTCTTTTGACTTGGAAAGTCTTGATTAATTTCTAGTTTTCAATTTTTTTTTGTTTTTATAAATAAATCTGTGCACCTCCTTGACATATGCTGTTGAAACTCATGACTCTTCAAAAAATGTAATTATTTTTGAAATTCCTTATTTCATTTTATGAATCACCATAGAGGTGCAGCTCTATTTTCTCTATAAAAAAATCCACTTAGTTCTCAATTTGCATGTGTTCACTTTTTGACTGTACATCTGTATTTCTTTCTCACATCAAAAGTTGTGTGCATGTAAGGTTTTGAATTCTTGAAGTAGTAGACATCTAAAATATGCAACACTAGAGTCACCCAATCTTATAATTTAAAGTGCAATCAGACATGACTATGACTTTTTCACAAACCTGACTAGTTTCAGATTCATCAGCACATTCAAAGATCTAGTCTTTTCAGACATGAGGTGAAAATTTCAGTGGGAGAGTTGAATTTAAAACTTAGCAAACAAATAGTTATATGTGAATAAATTCACACTGTGAATTACCCTTAAAGAGAGAACAACATAGCAAATAATGTAAAAAGTAAAATAAAATTTACAACTTTAATAGGTAATGCTTAAGGAAATCTGATGTCTACCCTACAATATTTTTAAGGGACATAAATACAAAAAGTGGGGCTTTTCTTAGCCTGTCAGAGAGAGAGGTACGGTTCAAAGAAAAATCTTATTAATACAGAGTTGTCTTAATCTGTGGAGCAGTTTTCCAACAGGAGTAAGGAAATCGTGTTATTTAGCAATTAAAATAAACCCTATCAAAGCACAAGGATTTTTAAAGCAGGGATCTTTCTTGCGCTGTAGGTATGGGGCTAAATGACCTAATTTTTAGAAAGTTTGGATCTATTTTGGAAATGTTGAACGTGCTCTGTTTGGCTGGATTTCATGTGGAATTGAGCGTTCCACGTTTCTGTGAATGCGGTCATACTTTTATCTTTCTGTGGTGTTCTCTGAGACTAAAAGAAGCCCAAAATAAAACAGCATACAGCAAGAAGTTTTACATACACTAACATTTACATGACATATCCTATGCCATACTAAAGCCACCAATACTAAAATCTTGTTATGTGTTCTATGTTCTCCCTTAAACCTTTAATGCACTGCTGATACTAAGAATTAACCATGGGCTTCAAATGCAAATTAGTTGCTTCACTTATGCTTAACAGGGCTGGCTTAAACTTACAAGTCAATTAGCCTTTCTGCAATGTGACAGCAAAGGGAGTGACATTCCAAGGTATTTCTAATTAATTATAATTAGCTGTGAAAGTGAATTGCAAGGTAACTTAAGACTTGTGTATAAAGAGTAATGTTTGGTATATGTAATCTGAGCACCATGTTTTCCCCTGTTGTTTCAAAAATGTATAGCCTTCAAAAGTAAAACAGGTATTGACTAGGTGAATAGAAGTTTCAAACATAGCTCTTCTAGTGAAATTTTATTATAAAATTCTAAAATGTAATGAGAAGCAGCAATTCAGTAATTGGTGTCATAATGTCAAAATTAACATGGAGATATTTCTTTTTTTTTCCCTCCATTAACTATAGAGCCTGTACAATTTTTTGGCCCAGCCAAATGCCCTTGTTCATCTGGATTTATCCAACACGGAGTGTGCACTAGATATGGTAAAGATGTTTTTTTTATGGAGATTCAAATACCGAGGAAGCATTCCCCACCTTCTATCCCTAGGTACTTTTCTGGGTTAATATAAAGGAAAATCAGTCCTCTTTGTTTTAAACCAGGTGTGTGGAGCCCTCCTTCGTGGATGTCTTCAGCATCTAGCTGTCCTTAGCCTCTCTAGGACCCTTTTTTCTCACAGGTACAGTTTACATGTCATTACTCTCAACTCCTGCAATATTTAGTTTTATAAATTCTTGCTCTCATGTTGCACCTTTCTGAGAAGAAATCTAAGACTTGATAAAAGTTGTAGAAGCCTTAGTACTCTATGAAATAGGTATTATTTATTCCAAGGAAAATATTTTCTTACCCTTTCTGCCCTTTGATAGATGGCTGTAAAATAAGCTACCTTGTCTAACACCTTTTTTGTGATACGGATGCAGTGGAAAGCCGTATCTATAGATATATATCTTGTGTCTCTAAGAGGCATAGCATCAGACTTTGAAGTCTGACTGACTTGACTTCTTTTTAAATTTGGTTTTTCAAGTTTGTATTTTTAATGATTTGATGATGGTTACAAATGCTTTTTTTTCCGTTTTTTGTCCCTTTCCAGGAGGAAGTCCCTTTGGAAAGTCTTTGAGACTGAACATTGACTTTGTAGCATACTTGCATTGTAGGATATACTGACATTAGCTTCCCTTTTCTTCAAATCAGTGTCTTGGGTCCATATCAGAGATGATACCTAATTGGGGCGAAGTTACTCCAGCACTGAGTAATTATTTCTAGTGATGAAAAAGACAATTTCAAGGTTTTTGTAATGTCCTGTTTGATCTTAACGCTTGTAGGATATAAGTATCTTCACTATTAACCAGACCTAAATGATCACTCTTTGTAGTTCACCAAACAGAAGCTAGATAGTAATGTCTTCTGTGCAGCAGTGCAATGCTGAGGATTGTTTGTTGAGTCAACATTTTGATGTTAGCTTATTTCTAAGCTAATTGAAAACCACTGATTACGGAGCTGTTGAAGGTACAGCAAATTAAACATGTAAAAGATCATTACAATTCTGACAGCTTGCATTCACTATTTATTGGGATGAGGGCTGTCTAGATGCTACTTCTTAATGAATTTGTTTCCTTACAGAAAAGGAAAAGAAGTCCCTCCCTCCTTCAAACAGTTTTTCAGCAGCTCACTTGCTTTGATGCAGATTAATCTTTCGGGAACGAAACTCCCTCCTGAGCCTCTAAAGTAAGAATTTAATTTCATTTTCTCCAGTTGCCTAAAACCTAGCTTGTATTGCTATTATGTGTGTGCCTCATATTAAAAATTAAGGGGAAAGGATTTTGCTTTTTTTTGCATTTGTACATTATTGATATTGCAAGACTGAGTTTCCTAGTGATCACACGTTCAAGAAGTGTTGTTTCCATCTCACAGTTGAGACTATTAATCATATTTTGCTTTGTGGCAGTGTGACAGCTGTTTAGCTTCCATCAACATTTTTTTGGTGATATATTTCTTACTTTGTGGCTTACAAACAAAACTGTTTGCTTCACAGTAAAATGGGATTATGTACTTGTGTGAGTGCCATTCCTTTGAGGCTGCAGTGTTGCAACAGCTGTTGGAAAACTGAACCTGTTGCAGTGCTTGGGAGAAGAAACCTATTGCACAGCACTATGCCCTCCTTTTGGGGGGAAGAGACAGTGTCAGCAACTTTTAGGAATGCTAAGTGTAGTGCATCTCTTTGCTATACATCTATATATGCAGATATTTATGTGTATGTATGTATACTTATGTAGTTGGGAGCCTGCCTCCTGAAGGAGAACAGGGAATGGAAGTGGGCAGTAGGTCAGCAAAGGAGTAGCTAATGAATGTGAGTTGATGCCAAAATCAGAGGTGTGGGATATAAGGAGTAGTTAGTTAGTACTGGATGAAAATCTTTTGATACAACATGGGGCAATGAAAGGGAGAGAAAAATGACAAGTGCCACACGGGAAAGATGTTTTGGGATATTTTTTCTTAATGCAATGTGACATTGGAGTGGACGGTACGATAAGATGCTTAAGTAAGATGCACTGGGTTGAAATCAATATTCAACTGCAAGAGCTGAATCACTTTAGCTATGATCTTTCACTCTGTTCTGTGTGGTGCTCTTGACTGGTGTCTTGCTTAGAGTTTGCTAAGATTAGGAGGGTATGGTACTGATGTGTTTGCAAACAGAGAATATTGAGAAACACATGGCTTGATTCCGATTAATTTAGGGCCGTTCATTCTGTAGTGGAGGGTAGCAGGGAGCTATGTTTAATGAAGCAAGAAGTACGGAGGATGTATGTGACTAACACACGAGACAATAATAGCAGTGCTACAGGAAAAAAAAAAATTCTCGGAGACATTGAACATATCTATAAAGGCCAGGAAAGGTAAGAAGCCCCAAACACTAAGGTTCGTATTTATCTGTTCTTCTTGGCATGTTGAGTACTCCTGGGGTGTAAGGAGTTTTCTCAGGTGAGTGCTCTACAGTTGTGCTCGTGGAAGATGTTATTGTATTAATTTATCCCAAATACTTGTTACCCTTTGATCTGCCAGCTATGCAGCAAACGAGATCTTCCTAGTCCTTTTCAGCCAAAGTGATCTGTATTAGCAAAAACGTACTCTGTTTAGGCTAATCTGTCTCAATTTGACTGAATTGGGTTAGAGGGAGTTACTCGCGTGACTGGTGTTGTTGGAAGTAGAGGCAGTGATGGGTAGCGTAGGATGAGCTGAGAGCAGTAACCTCTTTCTCCAGCACAGACAGCTCCAGAAAGGAGCATCTGTCCAAGGTCCAGCTGGACACGGATGGTCTCGAAGTATGCATGCCACTCTCACCTGGCTGGCATTTTGGCATGGACTTAATTTGTTTTGTTCTGATGTCAGTGTTCACCTCTACCTAGAGGGCAGGACAGAGCTCTTAATATTTTTTTGTGTAGTTTCCTTGATGTGCTTTTTCTCTGACCTGAGCTTTTTTCTCCAGTCTGAGTTGAGCGTATCTCACAACACTATAAAGAACTGTGATCTGCAGTACACTTGGCTTTCCCTCTCAAACCCTGTATGGCTTGACTGATATACTTGAAAAGCATCCTGTGGAAGTTAATCTGGTGTTAAAAGGACTGAGGATGTGCTATATCATGGGGTAGCTGCTTAGCATTTTGGTCTTACTTGTAAGAAATTGCAAAACTTCTACAGAATAATTAAGATCATAGGATTTGTTAGAGGCAAGAAGATGGAAGCATCTTTTTTCAGAGACTTATTCGTTACTGCCAAGACTGCAATATCACATGAGGGATGATTTCTAGAAGGAAAAATAAAAATGACATAGTGTATGATAATAGTACTTCTTTGGCATCTTTGATCAGTGCATATCAAAAAGCTTTTGACAATGTGGGCCTTAGAACTATCCTATAATAAAGGAGAGGTTCCTGGTTTGTGTCCATGAACCAGAGGTCACACAATGGGATGTGTGATTCAGGATCAAGCCTGCCTACAGAAAAGAACATAGATAAAATGCAGATACCTGACACCCGGAGTCCCAAAATCCCCTGATTTATTGTTATTTGTTTTATTTCTTATCAACTTCCTTTAGATCAATGTTTGTAGTATGTTTTAGTCGCATATGCTGACTCAGTAACTTTAAAGATACTGGTTAATCATTGCACTCAGGGAAGGAGATGAACTTGCTTGTACAGTGATGCACCTGTTGATAAAGTCAAGCCTTTCAGGGAAGAGGTTTGCTAATAAAGCTGTACTGTGGGGATGCCATGTAGTGGGTGGGAAAAGGGTGCTTTTAGTTCTTGTACATAGTTAACATAGTTAATGTTCCGTCACATCTCACTCTTTTTTTCCTTTTTTCTTTTTTTTAACTGAGTGAAGCAGTGTATACTTTCTTTTGCTTAAGTGTATGTTGGCATTTTTGTTCATTTACAGACATTGCCAAAAGTTCTATTTTGATCTGTCGGTGCTATAACAAGACAAGTTTCTGATATGCTTCTCATGCAAATGCTAATTACAAGGCCAGTCATTGCATTCTGCATCTAGCACAGTTGACAAGACCTTTCCATGTATTGCTGTGTCTGATTTAAACAGAGTGGCTAAGTATAGTTATATGTCTGCCTTCAGTGCCTTTGAATGCTGGTAATTCTTCATGACAAAGAATGGAGAAATCATAATAATGAGATTTTCTTAGGATTAGTTTATAGGAAGGAGGTTAGGGAAAAAAACCTTTTTTCTTCCTATGAAGAGAATACATTTGAATCAGCACTGTGTCTCTTTTTTAATTCTGATTTTTTTTTTATGGTTGCACTGTATTTTTTATGTTGCCTCAAAATGTTTAGCAAGTTCTTTGCAAAGCTATGATCAGCCACACTAACTTTGAAGAAAAGCATGTTTGGGAAGGAAATAGACAAGCCTCATCTAAAAATTTGCAAAAACTGTTGCAGAGCTTTCACATTTTTTTCAAGGTCTGTATATTGATAGTTTAAGAAGTAAATAAGCACCAGATATTTGCCTTTGTTAACAGCAAAGGTCTGATTAACATTTATACCTGCGGGGCAGATATAAATAGTTTTAAGTGAAAAGCCTTCCTGGGGCACACACATTTTAAATACTGGCTTTTACATGCTACTTGCACAGCAAGTGTGTAGGCAAATGGCTCAGCAGAATGTATTTTTTTTTATTTCCATGCATCAGTAGTTTGGATTCTGTTAGCTTGCTTTTGGCTGAAATGAAGTTAGGGGAGGAAGTCCTTCTGTTTCTCTGTTCAATTACTAGTTCAAAGCAACATCTATTCTAAAGATATTAGAAGGTATACACAGATTGTGTTTCCTCCTTCTCTAAGACACATACTGTTGTGCTTTCTGATTTGACACTATTAATACAAATATGGGCCTAACACTAACTTTTATATGTGGAAACAAACTTATGTAAGACTTTAAAGGTGGATTTATGAAAATCCTAATTGGTCATTGCTACACTTGTCTGCCATTCTGCCAAAGGATACTGTTGTCTGGGAATATAAATTTGAAATCTGTAAATATTCATTAGGTTGCGGAAGTGGAGAATTGTGTGACAGTTGAACACGATCCAGCATCTGAGTGTTACAGGCACTGTGCCTGGCTGAAATGGCTGGCTGCACTGCATCTTGCATATATTAAAAACCCCACTTTTTTCCTGATTTTTTGGAAAATCAGAGAGTTAGTACAGTCATACAACAGAAGACTCCTTTTGTTATCATTTGATGCTCTTTGAAAACAAATGTTGAAGAAAATTCATCTGTGATGAATGTTATTAACTGTTCATGTAGCATTAGCTTTATGGTTTTTTATTAGCCTTGTATCCCTGCAGTTTCTGAAACTGCTGGAATGTTCTAAGTGGGGCAGGTTTGTGTTGCTCTTGTCTTTCAAGAAGTAACTGCTCAGCTGGTGAGGTTTTGTTTTGAAATGGTTCTTCACATTATAGGTGTATTAACCTGTGATTGCTTGGATGATGATGATGTAAAGCCTTTTTTTTTTTTTTAAATGGTTCTAAAATTGATCTTTTTCAGAGCGCTTTTACTAGGCCTGGCTTGCAATCACAATCTGAAGGAGGTGTCTTTAGACCTCAGTAGCTGTGAGGTAAGGAATATTTATCAGGATATGTTCAAAAGGTGTTCCTGTGAAATCCACTGGGTGAGATGTTCTTTATCCGTAGTTGAAAGTTGTGGGGAAGGTAGAACTCAGAGAAGCAGTTATAGTAAAAATCAGCTCCTGTGTGTTACAGCATCCTAAATCATGACTAGAGAGGTTCAGAGCACCTGCAGAACCTGACTGTCGAAACGCTCCTCGCAGTAGCAGTGTTGGATATTGAGCCAGTGTGCTGTTTGCTGCTTGGGTTGCTTCTGCTCTCTGGTGCTGTGGTTACACCGGACCCTGCAGCAGGACTTTCCAAGGTGCCCAGATTTGAATGGGTCACTGGAAGCTGCATGCCCTGAAGGCATGTCTGTGGTTTGATTGTCTTCCAAACGGGAGATATGCTTCTTCTTTTGCAGGTTTGCTTTTTAACCGCGGGAGAAATTCTGCTTTCCTAACCAATTAATCAATTCAAGCCGATAGTGAACTTTGGTAAACGTGATTGAAGCATGCCATTGATATAAAAGGGCACTGTGCGAATGGCTTTAAATATCTCAAGAATAAATAAAAACAATTGTGGCAGGTTGATTTTTTTTTTATCTTGTTCCCTCTTGCTTCTTTGTACTTTGCTGTGCACTTTGTTTCTCAGGATTGTCTGTAGTCTTGCAGGGTGATGTCTGAGTGGCTACAGTTTATGAGGAAAGATCAGTCAAGACCCTGGGGAACCAGTAAGGCAAAGTTACATAGAGAACTATGTGGACTCTTGCCAAAAACAACATGAACCAGCTTGACTCAGGCCTTCTCTAGATGAGTGGCCCCCCTTTTCTTTTTAAGCTGCAAAGAAAGCATTTCATTCATTAGGCAGATCTTTCCAAGGCCCTCCCCTCACCTGAGTATTAGCTGTTCTGGGAATGTCTTTCAAATGCAGTGGTTTCCCTTTAAGTAGAAAACATGCTATTTGATGAACATGTTGAGGTGGAGTAATCCTTAGGTTTGGGGTCAATTGCTTTTGGAATGTGCAGAGATTTCCTTATGAAGAAAAAACCAAATCATTTTGAATGCACTTCATAGTTTGTTTTGATATTTTATACTTTTTTAAAAAATGGTATTACTTTGAAGAGCATTGTGGATAAATTCCAAATAGAAAAGCTTTGAAGTCAAGTACACATGCTACTGACTTCTGAATAGAGAGATCAGACGGATGATAATTTTTCTTTCAGAGGGAGGAAGGAAAAGGGAGGAGTAATTAAAGTAAGAAAAGTGAAGTCCTATGATCATGACCTTAAAAGAATAAATCAGTAAAACACAAACATAAGTAATGAGAGTATAAATTAGCATGTAAATCAACAAGGGCTGACAGGAGTGAAAACATAAGCCTTTCATTAAACAACCCCCAGGATGGGATATGGAGGGGCCCTTCAAGGAGCAATTATCCAAAGCACAAGTGGTCATGGCTGACTCTTGTGACAGAAAGGAATTTTGTGCCCAACTCTCACAGTTCCTGTAGCTGGTCCTTCCAAATTGACAGCACTTCCTTAGATCCTTCCCTCAACATTTTTTTCACATCACTGAGCTTTATCCATTCTCATGTGCTTTGGAAAGAAGAAGTTATGCTTCCACCAACAGGGAAGTTGATGTGCCAGGAGCTGGGAGTACTCTGTGGGCACAGTACTGCAGGGTCCTGTTCCACCTCTCCTTGACCCTCTGTGAGCTGGGCAGGGTAATCTGCACCCAGAAACAGAGCCATGGGAAGCCTGGAGCCGGTGACCTATGCTACTCCCAGTCCTGCAAGCACACACTGTTAGGAGGCCAGAAAGCTGATGCTTCAGCTTTGCTCTCCTCTTTCCTACATCAGGCAAGCTGTACTCAACTATGGAAGGATAAATCTCTCTGTTCCTTTCCCCTCCCACCACTTTTCATTTGCTCCCATAATTTTCTGGTATATTAACTTCAAGCTTAATCATTTTATATTGCTTGTTTGGTTGGGTTTTTTGTTATTTTTACTATGAAAATTACATTTTTATTTCTACCTGCTCAGCACTGATGTATTTCACTCTTTTCCCTTCTGCTTCCCTTAGCTTGGTCACTGTGTAAGTACCCTTCATGCTTTAATTGTTAAATCAGTAAGCAGCTTTATTTGCCCTTCCCATATTGGTACGTCATAGCTTTGAACACGCTTGGCAATTTTAATTGTTGAAGGGTTGTTTTTCGTTGTTCTTCATTTTCTGGATAAAAGCTTGTACTTGTAGTCTCAGAAGTATATTATATAGGAGAAGTTGCAGAGTTTGGTTTTTTTCAATATCACAGGCCATGCTGACGAGTAGCCCTTCAATTAATCTCTGCTCTTTAATGTGTATATATATATATATATATAATTTTAATACAGTTGCAATAAATTTTTATCCAAAAATCCAAGTTGTTATCATCACCCTCAGATTAAATAGATGTCACCATTTGTGCACATGAAATGTTTGTGTATTTAAGATTTTGAATATAGAGTTTTCGGTACAAGATTGAAAGCTGCTTCTGAGAAATTGTCCACTTCAGCCCTCAAAGTATGTATAGCATAAGCATTTGGATTCAAGTGTGAGTACAATTTTAGTGTATAAAACTTTTACCATACCAACAACCAATCCAAGACTGCATATAAATCTGCCAGTTCCAGAGATTCTGTAATAATAGATGTGGTACTCTGTGTAAAATGGTTGTCTTGTAGTGGGCTGCACTGAGAGAGCAGCACAGAGCAAAACTGAATGATTTTGGCATTCATACAGCAAACTCTACAAATGCTCCTACAAAACTAAAGTTGAATTAAAATTGCACCGCTTCTGGCCCAAAATACAGACTTTAATCTGACCACTTCTTGAGAGGATAGGATGAAGGATAAGTAGGCTTTGTTTTATGCAGAAGAGAAAAGGTGCCTTACGTTCTGTATCTTTTACGCTTCCAGATGTGAGTTATGATTTAGATGTTGTCTTTGACCACTGCTGTTCTTTAAATGCTCACGCCAAGTTGTTGAGCTGCTTGTTAATCAATCACATATCTCAAAGTTTCTAAAAAATGCCAAATCAAGTCTTTACTGAAAAATACTTCTAGAAGTCATTTATGGTTCCTTAATTTGTGGCATGGATCAAAGAGACTATTGACAGAAGTATCAGCAGGTTGATTGAGGATATTTAGACAAGTAAGTCAACTAAGTAAAATATTACTCATTTTTTATGTGCAGGAGGTGAAAAGGATATTTCTTGTTTGAAAAAGCTTTCCATTTTTTTTGAAGCAAGGACAGTGAAACTGGAGAATGCAAAAATAGATTTATTTTTCCCATCTTTTGCTTAAGTCTTTTTCTGGGGGATGTTCATAAAGTGAAATGCACTTTACATAGGTTGCATAGCTGCAAGATATAAGAAAATGCTTTTGCTTCTTTGGAAAAAAAATTATGTTGCATTGTTTAATTCTGTAGCATTAGTAAATAAGAGTGTAGGTTTTCATAATCTTGATTCTTGATGTTTTCTCCTAGGCTACTTCTTTGTTTTTTCATTAAATCTTGACATTTCATTTATATTAGTTTATTATTTCAGATTAATAATATAATAATGGATGTTTTCCATTTTTGTTATTATTGCTGTTTTTCTCTTTTGTGCCTATTTTTAATTTAAGAATAAGGTAAATTACTGATTTCTCTTGCTTATGGTCTTTTGTGGCCATTTTACAATTGGATTATTTAAAGTTTGTTTTCAGTGACAGGGAAACATAATTTCATTGGTGTTTTCTTTTAATTTGATACTCATCTTTGATCTGGGCACCCTAGCATTGTGCTAAGATCTGAAAGAAGATGCTCACTGTAAGTCTTGACTGTAGTTGAATCCAAGGGTGACAGTGTTGCATGCTGATAGGCTGGGCTAAGTTTATTTTTTGTCTCATTGATGTTGGAAGTGTCCCGGCCCTTTCATGTAGAGAACACGCACCGAAGTCCTGCAGTCACTGCCTAGCACAAGTGCTGAAGGATTCATTGTGTCTATACGATTTAAATCTTTCCCTGATTTAACTGTTGAGCAGTTTTAAGAGAAAGGAAAGACAGTCCCTTTTCTCATTTATATACAAATCGTGAGAGTGAAAGATGAAAATAGTAGGAATGGGTGTGTAGGCTGTCATTTTGATGTGTGCAACTTCTGCTGCTGCTGTTGGTTTTGCCACTGATAGTGCCTTCTGTATTCACAAAGCTGCTACCACTGCTTTCTGTGTGATCTTGAAACCATAACTAGTTTGCAAAAATGGATGATGTTTTGTCTCTAGTTAAGATCGGGAGGTGCACAAGTCTTGGAAGGATGCATAGCAGAAATACACAATATCACCAGCCTAGATATTTCGGACAATGGTAAGTACACAGAACAGGAATGGAGGGTTATGCAAGTTGACAAGAATCTGAGAAATGCTTTTTCTTTCAGCTCACAGTGTAATCAAGGATGGTCGCTCTTGCTTTATGATTCTTGGACATATTGGTTATGGAAATATCTCAGACCAAGAGCTCTTATTGCTATAAAGTGTGTAAGAAATATTAATATATTAACTGTACCCTCAGCAGGATAAAGTGATGGCAGCAAGCATCATATTAGATCTAGAGGAAAGTGGGTTTAAGTACAAGAGGATGAGAAGCTGAATGGAAAATGAAGGTGTAGTGAAAGAAGAAAGAGAAAGACCAGATACTGAATGAAGCTGTCGTTGTGACACTGGAGAAGAAAGAGAGGGAAATTTGGAGCAAACAGTCAACCAGCTTCAGATCAGAGAAGGCCTGTTTGAGTCTTTGGAAAAGTCCTGGACTATTCCTGCTTTGGAGACTCTGTGTTTCCTAGCTGGGAATGCCAGCAGGCTTCTCATCTTGCAAACTCAAAGTGTAGATGTAGGGAATGGAAGAATTCTGCTGTGTTTGCCCCTCTGACAGCCAAATGTGGAAGCATTTCAGGAAGAGATTCCCAGTACAGTTGAATGTTCAAGAAGGGTGGGATGGATTGGCAAGTGGAAAGCTTTGGGAGCTACTAACTTAGCCCAATTATGTAAACAGATTTATTGTTATAAATAAAGATATTTGACATCTAAATTATGCTGTGGATCTGGATCCTAAGTCATGGTACTCTTGCTAGTGAACTCTTCAAATACACTACTAGTTTGGGAAAACAGAACTACAGCAAGTTATTTTTCTTACTCAGGAGCAGAATAAAATTTAGCTTGTTTTTCAGGTCAGTTTATTCATAGCCTGCTATGTTAGCCTTTTTGCACTTGAAGGCTTTCAGACCTTGTTGGTATGCAGCTCTACTAAGTCTAAATAGCAATTAGCCTGGTCTCAAAATTCTCAAAGGAACTTTAAACTCTGCCTGACAATGTGAGGAACTACCCTTGTGTGGTTGGACTGTGAATAAGAGACTACTTTTCTCTTCTGTGTTTAGGAAAGGTGCCTTCAATGGCTGATTAGGATGGAGATTTAAAGGGCTTGTTTTAGAGAAAGCATTTATTCATATAGAAAAACAGAGGCAAAAAAGAGAAAAGTATTTAAAAATAGAAAAATGGAAATTTTTGTAGAGCTCTTGGAAATTAGTGCACTGATATAGTTACTTGAATGAATATAGCGTTAATATTTCGACCCTGTCTGCGTCTTTTGTTAAATGTGTTTTAATTCTTAATCTAATGTGATTCTTTACAGGTCTAGAATCTGACCTCTCAACACTTGTAGTCTGGCTTAGTAAAAACCGATCGATAAGACACTTGGCGTTAGGCAAAAACTTTAACAACATGAAATCCAAGTAAGGCTTTTTTTTTCTTTTAAATAACAAGAGAATGAATGAGGAGAAGCTGCTGATTTCATCATCTTCTTAACTCTTCTTCCCTCAGAAATCTCACTCCAGTACTTGATAATTTAGTTCAGATGATTCAAGACGAGGATTCAGTGAGTATCTTTCTGCCTACTATCGTCATGTTTATTTGTGCCCTCACAGTCTATTTCTGATCATTTTATTCACTGTGTTAATTTGCTGCATAAGATTTGATTATAATCCTACACAGACACATCCAACATTTTGGGTTTTATTTTTTCAAATAGTAATTTGGACTGTATGTAACATGTAGGTAAATGTTTCTTAGGATCTGCGCTTGTTGAAAAATATTCATTGTGAGTAGTTGGGTGTGCTTAACCTACTTGTTTTAGGTCTAAATTATACAGCCCTGTAGGCACAAGTTTTCAAAACTTCTGTGTCCTGGTAGGAGATTACAATGGTAGTGTTTTGTGGCTGTTGATACTCCTTCAATAACAGATTAAAAAAAAAAAAAAAAAAAAAAAAAAAATCAATAGAATTCACTATCTCCTGACAGCTGGTCCTTGGGTATTAGTATTTTTTTTTTCTTGACAAAATGCAAAGTCCCTGCAGTGATCGCCCAAACTCCTTTCTCCTCAAAAGATGCAAAAAAACTCTTCACTATGCTGTTTTTACTTTTCCTAGTACATTAATCACAGAAGCAATTTCATAAAACCCTTTCAGAGTGCCTTGCTGGGATCCTTGCCCACTTCCTTCATTTCTACCCTCTCTCATGATTCTGAAAGACTTTTCTGCTTGGATTTGTGTTCTTGCCTTACTTGGCATCCTAGTTTTAGCTATAAGGGAATCTTAAGATGCTTTGTTACTCTCATGCTTGTCAATCTTTATTCATCTACTCTTAGTCCTTCCTTTCTCCTTTATTCCCCGTACAAGAGCAAGCTCTGCTTTCCTCATTCTCCAGAAATAGCCAACTGTAGACTTCAGTTGTCTAAACACCTGCTATTCCTGTTTTTATTGTCTTGCCTCCAAGTTCATGATCTCCACGCTACCTGCTTCCTTTTTTTCTCTTCCCATCTGTGTCTACACCCTGCAGTTCAGTGAAGCAGTTTTTACCATGGTTTCTGATGTCTCCTTTCATACAAGGTCATTAGATCCATATTCTGCGTTCACCTTTTCTCCCTGCTTAGTTGTATTTGAAGTGATTTGTGAAACTTGTCCTGTCTCCTTTCTGTGTCCTCTTAATCAGGATTAGTGCTAATGATTTTGATTCTTTGCCTACCTCCTCACCTTATTCCTTAAAGCATGGGATGTCAGTGACAGTGAAGTGCTGCATACAGCGGATTCTAATTGAGTTAGTGCCTTTAATTAAAGCAGTAAGTCCTTGTTTGCACAAGTCAGGTGGATCATCATGCTAAGAAGTGTCTGGGTAGATCTCTGTGTTACTTTATGTACAAAACTCACATTTTCATTTTGTGGTGTGTGACCACCTTCTATTCTGTCTCGAAAGGGAATGGTGCAGGGCTGTCTTCCCCTTCTCTCCTTTTGCTGCTGATACTGTGCTGAGGGGTGGTATCATTTCATCAGATAGCAACTGCTTCTTTTTGGACATTTGTCTCTGTCCTGCCCTGTATCCCATGCTTAATCTTTCGCAGGTATCCTGAAGACTGTTCTGTCAATCCAGATTAATCACAAGCAGATGTAATTTTATATTTTTTTCTCAATTTCCTTGATCCCTTTGCTCTGTTGCAGGTGAACATTTCTTTCCATTCAGACCGTATCCTAGAACACCTCTTCAACACACTGCACGTGTCCCTTCAGTATCCAAACTATCTTCTTAAACATGCTGTTGGTTTTTTTTCTATTTATATTACTATCCTGTTCATATTACCCGTTCACAAGGATAAAAATTCCAACTTTCACCTTATTTTCTCTATTACATGTTACAATCTTCTGTTTGTCTTTCCTGGCTTTTTTTTTTTTTTTAAGCTTCCAGGACAGAGAAAATGTAGCTGCTGATTTTGGTTGTATCATTCTCACAGCTCTCCCTCTCTTGCATCATCAGCTTCAATTTCTTGTGCTCCTTTTCTTTTCAGCCCACAGGCAATTTCAGCCATCTTTCCACATTATGCCTTTGCCATATTCCAGTGGTCAGATGTGCTCCTTGTAATTCTTACCATGTCTTTCCTGAGTTAACCTACAGAACACACTCTGTAGTCTCATCCTGTTTTCAAATAGCATTGAAATGAAATAATTCACCAAAGGGTTATTTTATTTAGGTACTTAAAATAACTGTCTCCTCTTCATGTCATGCATTAACTTTTGGGATACAGCATGTGATCCTTTTGGTGTTACCCTCTTTTCTCCCCATGTACTTTTCTCTTGTTAATCCTCCTCAGTAAAGAAATCTTGTTTGTTTCTTTTTCATCAGGTGCTAAAATCAATCTGAAGCATCTCCTAGCAGCTAAAGAGTTGAGGACGTAGGCTCTGTAACACCATGGGAAAAGCTTGTGTTGCAGACAGCTGGATGGTCCTCACTCTACCTTGAGATAGTACAATGCTTAGAAAATTATTTTAAGTTTGTAGTTATTTGGGTTTGGTTTTGAATCCTAAATAGGGTAATCCTTGTTCTGCCATTACTATGCATTTACTGCCACACTCCATTAAAAAGTAAAGGTGTTACTGGAGAGACAAGGGTATGATGTATACTGCTTGGTCAGTGTTGCCTGTGGGCTGGTGCAGTTTGGGGACCATGCATTATCTGTGCAGAAAACTGAAGCAAGAGGCTTTAATCTAAACCAGTCATCTGCCAAATGCTTCTTCATGTATTTATACATGCTTTAAATAGATCTATTGCTGTGTTTATATGTGTCATGAGTAAAATGACTTAAACAATCAATAGCTTGGTTTTGTGACTGTAAAAATACAGCAAGGTGCAAATGTAATTCTACACAATTTAAAAGCAGTAGTAGTAACCTAAATAGCAAGATTTCCCGGGTGTTTAATGTAACAAGAATGTAATATTTGGATTTGTTTTATGATTTTAGTTTGGTTTTTTTCCTCTTTTTAAATAGATGCTATACTGTGCAGGCTATAAAAATGTATTCTTATTAGTATTGCAGGAAGTGTCTGAAGCTGTATGCTTACTGTGCCATTTCTTTTCTTCTTGCAAAATAGATGTTATGCTGAAGATACAGTGTACCGTTAACTCAGTGGTAGTCAATCCTGCACAGGTGCAGAGAATTACTGCAGCACTGAATATCTGTAGTTATTAGTTCAGTGGTTGTTGCAGAATTGGCCTTTTGAGGGTTTTTACAGCATCTTTGTTTGTAGGAGCACAAGTTTAGTTTGATTTAATTCTTAAATGTTTTCCAGCAGGAGTACGTCAAAATCAAATACAGTCATACAATTTGTATTTCTGTTATTTACTTTAAGAATTATTCTTCCTTAATAAGATTGAGTTAAGACATCTTCACTGTATTGGAAAAGTACGCATTTCCTACAGCAGGGACATGGAAGTGCTTGTAAGACTTATGTTTTCTCAATATCCAGCTAAAACTATGAAGTTTCTAAAAGAAATAAGTGTTTGTAGGCTATGTGGAGTATTGCCCTTGTTTGTGGGGGATTTGGTTGTGGTGGGATTTTTTTGCTTATTGTTGATTGGGGTTTTTTTTTTTAATGTAATTCTTAGATATATTAGTGAATATTTAGCAGTCTGTATGTTTAATACTCCAGAGTTACATTCTGATTGCAGTTTGCGTTCAGGGCATCAAGTGAGTCCAGAGGTTTTTGCTGCTTGCTCTTTGAGTAAATGATAAGGGTAGCTGTGCAAGAAAACTGACAGTTCATCCACTTCAAAGACACTGCTAATATAGCAGGTGCTTTATTTTATGCAAAATATGCATATTTCATATGTGATAGTAATGATGTATACGTGTCAATCCTTGCAGAACACAGTGCAGAATTGTGTTCAATCGTATACTGTTTTGTCAGAGTATTGGAATGCTAGAGATGACAAATTCCTTCCTGGAAGGATATTTGATGTTTAGAAAAATTGGTATGCAGGTGGGAGTGCTTCCAGCTAAGTTACTTGAATGACCCTTTCTAAACTGGCACATGAGAAACAGAAGAAGCTTCACTTTCACAAGCTTATTGGTAATTTCTGTCTGAGTGCTGTGTGATGCTGCTTTTCTGTGAATATGTCGCAGGGGGTCTTCTCAAACTTGTGCCAGGAGCTCTAAATGCCATTCTAATGGGATGCTAATATTCTTTAGGGTACATAATGTAATAAAGTGGGGAAACACAGATTAAGGGCATTAACATAGTAATTTAATAACTTCCATTTAAAATAAAACCAGCATGTGGCTTGTGTTACAGTTAGACTTTTTAATTATAAACCTGCTGTGCCTCCACATTTTTATGCATTTTCTCATTTATAAGTGCATTTCTTATTGTTGTAAGCTTTTTGGTTATTGCTGTAACCCAGTGGTGTCTGGAGGGTAGAGTCCCAATGTATAGCAGGTACCATGCAAGCATCTTGGACCCTGGAAGGTGTGCCCAGTTCAGCTGGCTTATTTATATTAATCTAAGCTTTAGACATCTAATGTAGGTGCCATGGTTCGTGCTTATGAGATGCTGATTTTCCCATACTGGCATTTTGGAGATTTTAGGCTCTTAAAATTCATCCTCCGGTACATGCCTAAGTGGTTGTATAATGACAATGCACTGCTCTGTATGAACTCACGCTTAAGCAAGGGAAATGTTTTGTGGAGTTCTTGTACATCAGCACAGACAAATTAGAATTTTAGTGTCTGTAATACCTCTGCAAGGCATGGTGATGGATAGACTGTAGTTCTTGAGCTCCTGCCATAGTGTTTGGACACTGAGAATGGAGGGAACACAGGCATTTTTAAAAGAAGTGTGCATAAGGCTTAGGGTGACTTGCAGGAGTCCAATAAAGTGGTTTCAGCTTAACAGTGTATATAAAAAAAAGTTACATGAAGATATTGCAATCACAGGTCTCAGAACACCACTGTGAATAATTATCCATTCACTTACTAATTTTAATAGATATTCTTCTTACTGCTTTTAATTTCAGACCTGCTACAGTTTTCTGTCTCTTTCTTGCCAAATGTCTGTGCCCTTAGTTGAAGAAACAGATAAAAGTAACAATAATAAAACAGCTTAAAGGTCTCAGATCTTAATTTGCCCTTGAATAAAGCTCTCAGTCTGAGGGAGAGGAGGGGAGTGCAAGATATTTTGATTTCTCACTGACAGGTCAACATGCTGGCTAAGCAAAACCCACTGGCCACTAGAAGTTGTCTTGCAGAGCTGGTTGTTGCTGTCTTGCCTCTTTTCAGGTTCCCACTTTATTCTGTATTTAGTAGGATATAGGAAATAGGAAGCACTGTCACTTAGAAATGGATTTTTTTCAGGGTGTTCCAACTCCGTGTGTGTGTGTTTGACACCTGTGCTGTGCATTGTTGACTCCCAGTTTACCATGTCTTGCAGGATCTACAGCAAACACTGAAGTAACTCTTTGATGCTTACTGCTGTCTCCAAGAGTTTGGGGAACTTGTAACTTCTTCTGGTTGTTCCTTGAGGAATGAGAGCATTATCAGTTGCTGTTATCAGTGCCTTTTTTTATCCTCCACAGCCTCTGCAGTCATTGTCCCTCGCAGATTCCAAGCTGAAGACTGAGGTCACCATAATTATTAATGCCTTGGGCAGCAATACTTCTCTTACAAAAGTGGATATTAGTGGAAACGCCATGGGAGATATGGGAGCAAAGATGCTGGCAAAAGCCCTACAGATAAACACCAAGCTCCGGTAAGAGAAATGTATTTGCAGTAAAAGATAGAATGGCTTTAATAATGCTCAAGTTGTTGGCTTATTCTCAAAGCTGTTTCTCTTCAGAACCCTTCTAGGTACAGCCACTTTACAGTGTCTACATTTGGAAATATTCTTATCCTTTTTTCTTAAAACAAAACAAGACAAGAGAACCAAGTTGTCTCTGGAAAAACATTACCATAACTGAAACTGGAGAAAATTACACCTTATAAATTTAAACAGAAAGACCTCTTGTTGGAACAAGAGAGCTCTAAATTGTCTAGAATCATAGAAAAAAAATTGCCCTACTACAGAGCTCTGGATGTCATCTGATCCAATATCCATCTCAAAGCAGGGCCGACTTTAAAGCTATACAAGGTTGCTCAAGGCCATGTCCAGGCAGGTTTTGAAGATCTCTAAGGACAGGGATTACAGTGTCTGTGGGAACCCTGTTCCAGTGCTTAGCCACTCTATTCTGTTTTACTCTCTCTTTTCTGCTGGAGACCTTCCCAGCAGCGATAATTTTGGTACTTGGGAGGGAAACTAAAGTAAATTATTATTTGTCTTCTGGAGTATCAATCTGTAGTAGAATTAAAGAGCATGTGTAATTCAGAATGGGTGGCAGCACGGACCATCCCTCCTTCCCCTCTCCCCTGCCTATAGTGCTGATGGACCTTGGCATCTCTTCTCTGCAACTTCATCCACCCAACAATTTCACTGCTTTTTAGCACATGTCTGGCACTGATGACTTGAGAGTGTAACTTTTTTTCTATCCAGCATGTGATTAGCGAACAGTAAAACCTTCAATCAGCACGAATCTGGATGGGGACCTCTAAATATGTCACCATCATCAGGAAAACTAATCCTCACTCCTCCTGTCAGACTGCGCAGATGAACCTTCCTTAGTGTGTTGTCTGTGTAAAGAGACAACTTTGTGCTTGGTCTCCAAGCATTTGTTCCCTGGAGGATAAGAAATTCCGCAGAACAGTCCTGGCTGTTTTGTTCAGAAGCAGGGATCCTGGTCTTTGCGTTGCTGTGCCCAAACTGAATATTGAAAATGTCAAGAAAACACTGGAGAGGTGGCCTAGGTTTATTGAACGTATTAACCTGAAATGACCACAGTACCTGAAGAAATAAAGCCTTGACAGCTTTCAGGATGGCAGACTGAAATGTTCTACTGTATAGCACAGATGATGTAGTGTCACTACAGTCTGTGGTGTACTTACAAACTGAATAATGCAATGATAACTGGCTCCGCTTAAAATGTTATAAAATGACATCCAGGTAAAATTACAAACACACTTTCCAATGACAAAAATATCCGAGATTTGACCCTAAGCATATCTGATCTTTGAAGAGTGGGTGTAGAATCTCTCTTCCTCTCTTCCTTAGCTCCATCTTTCTGTCTAAAAAACAAAGGGGTAATGCTGCAACAGCGGAAGGGTGTCAATACCTGTGAAACCCTGCCATCTATCTTTTTTTTTTTTTTTTTTTTTTTACACCAGAAATCTTTATTTGGTTTTGTGCTTTTTTTTTTTAAGAACAGCTACAAGTAGTGCTCTTGCACAAGCAAGATTTATCCACTTGACTGTCTCTTCTGACTACTAATGAGATCTTTGAACATGTGTTCGCAAATTGCCAGGCAGTCTGCTTGAGTGGTCTAAACTGTGGGAGGAGGGGGAAGGCTTGATCATTCTTATCACTATTGTGTATTCAAAAGAGCTGCAATTTATGCACCTAACCTAATGGCTTATACTGGCAGCTAGTTATATGGCATGGGGAATCATAGGAACTGTGTGATGAGCTAGTACAGGATTGAATATACAATAGCCTGCAAATTTTGACAGCCAATCTGCATGAATTTTTTAAATACCTTTTTCTATAACTGTAGTCATATAGCCTATGTAAAATAGAGATTGATCATTTACTGAAATTTTCTTGGTTTTCAGTGTGGGCTTGCAAAGCAGATATTTGAACTTTATTTTTGGTGCCTTTCCTGGAAAAAGCTGGAATTTTATCTCTAAATCTTTCTATTAACTGTATTTTAGAAAAGTTATATTTTTATGTTAATGATGGAAAATGTAGTATGGAGTCCTCTTTAAAGAAGAGGAAACTGAATTTTGTAGTATCTTTGACTCTAACTTCTGTCATTTCAAGGTTTTAGCGTATAACTAAAGGCAGGTTTTTAAAATGTTGCCGTCCACTATACAATTTTGAACATACGTCACTGTTATTACAATATGCAAAGTTTTGATATAGATTTATTCGATGGTTCTTGTTTAACTTTTTTTTTCATTCCTTTCCCGTCCATCTCTCAGAACTGTAATATGGGACAAGAATAACATCACTGCGCAAGGCTTCCAGGACATAGCTGTGGCACTGGAAAAGTAAGTTCTCCAGCAACTGAATGACTGATGAAAAGGGCAAAGACTTAGATCCTGAATCGTCTGAGCAGCTACAGTTCTCACCACAGTCGATATGGTTTGAAGATGCTGAGTGCTCTCAATTTTAAGCATCAGGGTGCTTAATCTAAAGGAAAATTTATGACTTCACATCCTTCAGAAGGGTGGGAAAAGACTCTGTGGTTCTTTCATCTGTACTCTGCTATCAGTGTTAAGGCCGTTGGGTTCTGCTGTTAGCATTAAAATTCTGAATTTGAGAATATTTTCACTTTTCTTCATTTTCTTGTGTTGATAGTGTGCAGATATTCTACTCTAGTCAGTGAATTAAGTTGTATATAATAACAGAAAGTTATTGAAGCCTGCCTTTGTGGTCTGACTTTTTTTTCTTTCCCCCAGCAAGTTGAAACTAATAATGATGATCTCAGGAACTGCTATTGTTCATCGCAGTCATTGTGATCTGGGTCATTTTGCTTCTCTGAGCTTACTCACAGTTGCAGCCGTTACCATTGATAGATACTAAATTACTTCCATGTCTCTCCATCGCCATCACACTTCTTTGTGTTGTTATTACTTCTCTTAAGAGGGAAAAATTACAGATGTAAATTAAGCAGTAGTTGCAGTTGTTTCATGTCATTAAAACCCTCAGAGAGGAACAAAGGCTGTCTTTAGAAGGTGGAGGTAACATACAGTTGCTAGTTTCTAGATACAATGTCTTGCAAAACTGTGTAACTACTTAGGGGAGCATCTCAACCCTTGGAGGGGTCATGAGGCTAGAGCTTATAAAGTTACTTGTTTTATGAGACTTGTATTTTATATACTTGGTTTCAAAATTCATTCAGTTGCACTGATGGGGAAAATTATATAAATGATGTATAATTAAGCAGATCATCTTGGAGTGATTCCATTGATTGTGGTGAATAATAATTTGCAAAGGTTATTTGTCAGCTTGCAGACATTTATCTGTTACAGAGCAATAGGATGTACATTTATGAGAAAGTCTTGTAGAAAAGAAAATATCCTTATTTTTCAGTTAGCAGCAACTTTACTTTTCTATTCTGAAGTTCTTGGAGAAGTAAATAGAAAGGAGGGGGAAATCCTAAGGCAAAAGCAGATCATCAAAGCAGAAAAGAAGAAATGCTACAGATAATTGTGTGACATTGCACTTTATTGAGGTGACGACTCATTTATTTAGCTTGGAAGCTGAGGTAATTTTATGTCGTCTCTAACATACTAAAATTGTTAAAGCAATTGATAATATTACAAACTAAGCCACAAGCAAGAATGGTTTAAACTTGCAAGAGAGGGACTGTCAATACTGTCTGAAAACAATTAGCCTTTAAACAATACATCTTGAAGACATATTGAGAACATCATATGTTCACCATATGTTGCCTAAAAAGACATGAAACCATAAGTATTCTGTAGGAAAGAATTGTTGCACAAAACTGAATTAAATATATCAAAGATGTTCGGGGGGGTGTGCATTGTGTGTGTTGTTTTGATTTTGTTCTTAAGAAAGAGAGTCATATACTAAACCACAAAAAAGAAGAAAGCTGGGCTTTCATAGTGTTATGAGGAGGTGTAGTGAGGAGGCTGAGGAGAATTGGGAGGGATTGTAACAGACTTTAAAACAGGCTGAAGTAATCTGAAGGTTGTTTTTTTTGCCTCCTCCCAGCTTTTCTTCATCTGCTTAAAGTTGTGAAAATGCTTCCTTCAAGGGAATTCTAGCAGTATGGCTTTTGGCAGAGTTGTCCCAAGGGCGTCCCAGACAGTTGATGTGAGGTGCTGAGGGGATCCTGCGTAAAGTCCAGTAAAGTGTCAGTTCAGTTCTCATGTCAGTTCTCATTTGAGAACAGTGGGCATCCTGTTCAGCCTGGCCATTAAACAGGGATTCATTTTTCTGTAATAGTAAGCATGTGCTTGTGTGCTTTGCAGCCTAGAGCCCACTCTGTCATAGAACTGTACAGTATTGCCCCATATTAATTTCTAAAAGATTTTTTTCTGTATGGCCTGACTGAAGAAATAGCTCAGGTTCTAAAATCTTCTGGGAAATGCTGGGATTTGTTAGAGAGCTAGGAAGCAGTGACATGAAATTCACATACTCAAGCCTGCAAAGCAGATGATCTTATTCCCATTTTTTGGGGGGTTTTTTGGGTTTTTTTTTAAAGGCAGAAAGATCATCACTCTGCAGCACTGAGTCTGTCAGGAACGCAGCAGAGGTTGCTACATGAGGAGTAACCTGTTATGAAATGTAGGACTGTTGTCACACATGCTGTATGTAGAGGAAGAGACAGGAGGTTTTTGAGACATCCTTTCCAGTCTCTGAGCACCTCTCTGAAATTTGACATCCTTTTACTATATGTATTTTGCTGAAAGTATTAATGTGTTATGAAATTACTGGATTATTGCGTTGGTAGAGAAATGTTCTCTGTTACAAGAGACAAGTGGAGTGTTACTAAAAAGAATAATGGAGGAATATTTCAGGCTTCAAAGGAAACAGAAAAATGAAGTGTGAAGATAAACGTTGCTCTGATGATCAAAGTTGAAAAGCAAGCTTTCAGTTCTTGATTTTTTTGCCCCTAAGAACTTGTTAATTCTTAGATGAAAATAAAGTAGCATTCCAATACAATGCTGTCTGTCTGGAAGTAAACCAAGTCCAGAGCCTTCCTTAGGGCAGTGGTCTTTTAAAGGTCTGCCTCTGTGACTGTGTGTCCATGAAATCTCTTTGCCTTTCATTTCCCCTGCGCTTCCTCAGTGCGTGTCTGTGTGTGTGAGGGACGGTGCACTGAGCCTTTGACTAAATTGAATTTAGCATATTATTACTATCATGAGAGCTGGCAATTATAGATTTCATTGGATGTGATGTATTAAATGTCAGACAGCTGCAGAAGTCCTTGGAAGTCTACCTTTGTTTCTTTTTAACTAAATAAATACCCTACCTGCCCAGTAGTAGTCAAGCAATCAGCAAGTTCTGTAATTATCTGTCTTTGAGCTCGGTATCTTTGACATTTAAAAATTGTCCCCATGCTGGTGGACAGCCAATTATTTGCTCTTTAGTATTACATGAGGACACATAACGAAGTGTATAGTAGGCACAGCACTTCTGAAGGATAAGGCAACTAATTTTCTAGTTGTGGTGCAGTAGGCAGTTGGACACTGTGGAAGGACAGGGATTTTGCTGACTCCATCAGTAACTGCTGCTGACAGCTACACATTGGGCATGTTTACATTGGGGAAACAACATAGAATTCTTGCATTAAAATTTAGGGTAAAATGTTGGGTGGTATTAATGAGGATTCAGTGTGTTTAGCAGTTCAAAAGACCGCTGTCCTTCAGAGAGTGGAGTTTCATGTGGCTGAGCAAATGGTGAGAAAGAAAGTGAAAAAAGCCTTGGGAGTTTCACAGTAGTTACGGAGTTATCTTTTCGAGTTAGTGCATTTAGTGAGGGATGGGTCTACTGAAGTCAGTGGAGTTGACTCAGTTGAAGTTGTCAGCTTTAAAGTGCTCAAAAATAGAGGTTTCCAACCATATTTATGAAATTTGTGATGGAATAGGAACAGAAGGTTAGTGGCATGTTTGTGGACAACCTAAGGAGGAGGAAGAAATTCTTGCAGGAAATTAAGGCTAATTGAAAATAGGCAAAATAATTTCCTTTTCAGGTTTTAAGAATTTTCTGCTCTGTTTGTTTCCATTTGTTCAAATATGAAGCTGTGTGGACATACCACTGTGTGTAGCATTTTAGGTTTAACTGTGTCATGCAAGCCAAGTCACGTTCTCAGAGTTGAAATATAATTTTGACTCAAGACCAAAGCTCTATCTTTATTCTCATATTGCAGCAGATGGACAAAGCTATGGAAATATTTTGCAAACAAAGTAAAATGTAGGGAGCAATTGTTTGCATAAAGCAATTTGGAGATGCTATGCTTGTTTTGTCAGCTTTTATTAAAAATTCAGCAAGTATCTTCAAATTGTTGTAAACACAAGAAGTTATTAAACAGTAAATTTTCAAAACTCAGTCTCCTAGTCACTGTCTATCTGTTACAGAATATTTCAATTTAGGCTTAAATCTGATAGAATTGCCAGCAAGCACTGACACTCCCTGTTCCATTTTGATACAGGAGAAGGTAATCCAACCTTGTATGCAAAGGTGCAGAGGGCAGCTAGGCCTTTAATTGACAGCCACTGAGCACTGACCGCCTAACTGCTTGTTTTACTTTTCAAAATCTCCTCCTCTATCTAGTGGCAAAGAAGAATTAGCAGCAAAAAGGAGCACACATGCCTACAGTTAGTCCACTTACAAATGTGAAAAATACTTTCTTAGTACCTTTCATGTAAAAGCTTGATCCATCTTATTGCTCCCTTCTAGTTTATTCTTCCTAATGAGATACAGTAATTAGGTTAACTTTTACTGTTTAAAATATCTTTTTTTAATTTTTCTTTAGGAATTATACTTTGAGATTCATGCCTATACCGATGAACGATGCTTCCCAAGCACTCAAAACTAACCCTGAGAAAACAGAAGAGGCACTGCAAAAGGTATTGCATATACCACCAACATACAGAAATAAAACCACTAAAAATAAAGTAATAATTTTAAGTGCCTGTGATTTCATGCTTGGCTGAGTAAGAGTTCTAGGTTAGATTCATTGAGTGTTTGGTTTGGATGGATATATATGTGGTAATCAAAGTGCTGCAAAGAGCATGAAAGACTTTTTATTACAAAGAATGGTTGGAGTGAAAGTTGATAGAACACAATGGTGTAGTACCAAAAAGTTGTCACTGAATTGGTGCTAGCTAGACCTTGTATTGCTGTATGCGTAACTGTGGAAGGGAGAGTTAGAAACAGGCATGTTTGCTACATATGTGCTTGTGTTTATTTCCATGTGCATAGAATTATTGGTACACATTTTTTGTTTTGGCAGAAAAAGCACAATCAGCTCTGTACAAGAGAAAGGATGCTCTTTAATTTGGGGGAGGACAAAAACATTTTCTGCCTGTGTTTTATATTGTACATATAAAATTCACACACTATGTCGCCCTAAATAACAACTGCACCAACATGTTCTTTTGGTTGAAGAGGTGTTGACAGTATCTGTAGCTGTTCTACTTGCACAAGTTATAAAACTCACAGCTGAGTTTTAATAAAATCTTGCGAGCTCCGAATGAGTCTCCTGCTCAATCTGAAAGCATAAAGTTTACATCTCTTTAATGAGTAGTTTTCCTTCAGCCAGGGCAAGGTCATAAAAACCTTACAAATGGTTCTTACAGATAACTGTGATTAAAAAGCAAATAATAAATATCTGTGATCCTTATTAGTAAAGAATTTTTCAGTTAAGTGATTCTCGCAGGGAAGAGTGCTGGTAGTTAGCACCTTTTTCTTTGATGCATGAAAATTATCTAAATTCTACCTTTTAAGAATCTGAATCATGGGGGATGGACATAGTTCTTACATCTCGTTTAATGTAATTGTGAACAGGTTCATATCTGGAAGGATAGATGCATCTCTGAAAAAATACCGTCAAGCTTCTGGCCACAGGGATTTAAATTCAATGTGTTAATTAGGCATCATGTACAAAGAGCATTTTCTTTTATTCATTTCAAAATTGCTAAAATTGTTTGGCCCAGAGTTTGTTTTAGCATATGGGGTTCAGGCTTTCTTTACACAACATGACGAAGATCTCTCCAAAAAAATGTGACAGTTTCTGGAGTGGTGCTGTAAACGCAGCTAGTTCCATACATGTAGAAACACTGCCCGCAAGGACTGAGCTGTTGTGTAGGGACACCTGAACTGACTGACTGCTGTCTCAGTAGGGTCCACAAGCTTCAGCACACCACAGCTTGAGTACAACCAGAGTGCTCCTGGCCCTGGTCCAGCACCAGATGGACATAGTAGCTAACCTCCCAAGCTCTGGTGTCTTTGCAGCACACTTTACTTACAGTATGGGCAAACTGGATAAAACCTGCATTACTGTGGGACATAGACTGTTCCAGTACTTGCTGCTCATGCAGGTTTAGAGGTGACCATCAGTCCTTATTAGTCTCTGCCTCACAGCCTGCTGGCCACTCCACCCATCCTTTTCCCCTCTCTTCCTTTCAGACCAGATCTGTCACCTTTGATGAACTTTAATCAGTTTACTAGTAGGGTTTTTTCACTTGACTGAGTTTGCTAGAGCCAGGTTAGGGCGTTACTCTGTGTGCCATTAAGCTGGCTGATGGTAGGTTTTTACTGCTTGTGACAGTCGTGGTGGGTTGTGACCAGCAACTCTGGGTATGAATCATGTGTCTTTGAAGAGCACTTATGTGCCGCTTAGCCTTAAACAACTTGTAAACTGAGGCTCCTGTATCAGTTAGGCACTTTTAGATATTTTATCTTCTCTCCAGACCATACTGCTATTTAAATCTGTGTCTTTGCAGCAGGCCAAATGCATCTAAAAGAAATAAATCGACTATCTTCTGTCATCATGTACAGCAACGCTTTATTTGAGTCCCTTCAAATATTTCTTAAACCCAAATCTACTCCTTTGTCAATGTAACTTAATTGTTCAAAATAGAAGACTAATTCAGAAAACACTGGCAAAAGCAGTGTTTAATGATGTTTCACAAAACCATGAGTGAATACATATTTGCCAATGTGGTTAGGAACGCATTCAGGTGGGCTTTGAATGTCTCCAGAGAAGGAGACTCCACAACCTCTCTGGGCAGCCTGTTCCAGTGCTCTGTCACCCTCACCGTGAAGAAATTTTTTCTCATATTCAAGTGGAACCTCCTATGTTCCAGCTTGAACCCATTGCCCCTTGTCCTATCACTGGATGTCACAGAGAAGAGCCTGGCTCCATCCTCCTGACACTCACCCTTTACGTATTTATAAATGTTAGTTAGGTCACCCCTCAGTCTCCTCTTTTCCAGGCTAAAGAGACCCAGCTCCCTCAGCCTTTCCTCATCAGGGAGATGCTCCATTCCCTTCATCATCTTTGTGGCTCTGCACTGGACTCTCTCTAGCAGTTCCCTGTCCCTCTTGAACTGAGGGGTCCAGAACTGGACACAATATTCCAGATGTGGTCTCACCAGGGCAGAGACTAGATGATCTTTCAAGGTCCCTTCCAATCTCTAACATTCTGTGATTTTGTGAGACACGCAGAATAAGGTTTGCAGATAATAAACAAATACTTGGGCAGTTTTTTCCTGTCAGTCCCTGTTTTGGATACAGCAACAAAATTGAAAGGAAATTACAATGCGGAGAGTTGAAACAGTTTTCTAATCTGGGTTTATTTTTTAGATAGAAAACTACTTGCTTCGTAATCACGAGACCAGAAAGTACCTACAGGAGCAAGCGTATCGGCTGCAGCAAGGCATTGTCACTAGTACCACTCAGCAGGTGAGAACTTGTTCCTTACTGGTATTTCTCTGTGTCTAAAATCTGTTGGCAGACAGTTCTCTGTCATTCTGTCAGAGTAGCTTAAACCAAGGTGTTCATGGTGGGTGATACTTTGTTTCCAAAGAAATAATAATTATCAATTATAATATTTTTGGAAGGAAGATATGCTTTTGCAGGAGGGAGGTCTTATGTATAGTAGTACTGTGTAGAGAAAGACCCAGGCTATTTCTAAATGAACTGCTGTTGGAACCAGGAACAATTTAGTTCATTTGTGCTCAGAAGTCTGACTTTTCAGCAGGCTCTTGTCAGCATGACAAGCATCATCATAAGACTGTGACAATTCACGTGACTGAGTTGGTTCCAGTCTCTCTGCCTCGCACTGAGCAACAACGTAAGCATGTCCTTAGGTACCACCAGAGCAAATAGACTTAGAGAGTAAGTCATCATCTACCTTATGCCTTTAGATCTATGGGTATCATGGGAAGGTTTACTTGGAAGAAGGGAGCAGAGGAAGGTAGAAGTTTTCTGTGCTCCTTATGGTCTGGACGGCTGAAACAGCTTCCTGTCTAACACAGCCCAAAATATTTCTTAAAGCTGGGAAGCTTTTGTGTTTTGTCAACCACTACCAGGTTTGCTAAATGCCATGTGGTGTTCTGGTTTGGTTTTTTGGTTGTTTTTTTGGGTTGTTTTTTTTTTTCCTTTCTCTTGAGAGGACTACAAGAATTTTCTGTGGTAGCGTACCCCATTCTCTCTGTTCTAGTCCATTTCTAGCCAGCATCCCTCAGGGCTGTTTTCAGCTCCACTACACCACTGAAGAAAGGTGGTGTAAGCAGAATAAAACCTGTCACAGCCTTTGTTTTAAATTTATTTCCATGTTTGTTTGCACCAGTTGTGTTCCCGTGCAAATGGGAGACTCCAGCAAACAGGAAAGCAGTATTTGTTTTGCTCTTCGTCTGAGTCAATAAAATTTCTCTCTGTTCTCTGCATTTATTTTTTGGTGAATTTTATCTGAGTCAATAAAATTTCTCTAGGTTCTCTGCATTTATTTTTTGGTGAATTTTTAATTCAAAGTGGCCTTTTTCTACCTTGTCCTGGTTTCGTCTGGGATAGAGTTAATTTTTTTCTTAGTAGCTGGAGTAGCATCATGTTTTGGATTTAGTTTGGGATTTGATATGAGAAGAATGTTGATAAGATACTGATGTTTTTAGTTGTTGCTAAGACAATCAAGGAATTTTCAGCTTCCCATGCTTTGCTAGTGTGCAGGTGCACAAAAAGATAGGAGGGAGCATAGCCATAGCAAAGCCAAAATTCCTGGTTTAGGATTTGAGTTCAGGTTTAGGATTGAGGCCCAAATTTGCCAATGTTATATTCCATATGATGCAACATCGTGCATAGTGTATTGTCAGGAGGCTCTCTCTCTTCTGGGATTGCGGTTTCAGGAC